ATGCTACAGCAACCCAGTCACAAGTGTTCCAGCTGGAACCAGCAACAGAAATGCCTCTCAATAACTGCAGCACTCGAGGCCCAAGGATGGCCTTGCAGGAGCCTTCGTGTGACAAGCAGGATGGGGGAGAAAGGGCAGCGCTCACAGCGTCCCATGGCCAACCCTGCTGCCCTGGGAGCATCCCCAGTTTATTTCACAGCAGGGAAACTCTCAGTCACAGCCCCTCTCAGTGCCACTCACCAGCTCACGGATGTCCTCATTGAGATCTACATTGCTCAGCTGTCCAGGGCGCAGAAAGGAGGAAGGAGTGAACTACAAAGAGAAGAGAGAACAAAGTCAGTTCCTGAATGCACCACCACCAGATGGCCCAGCTGGTGCCAACTGCACACAGCACACCCTCAGGCCCAGGCTGGGTCATGTTCCCTAAAGTGCTTCCATGCATAGAATCCACATGGAAGGCCAGAGCTTGTGTTTGTCCACCCCTTATGCCTCCATGTCAAGCCCCAGTGCTGTCCAGGAACTGTGTGAGATGTTGGAAGGAGGGACAGACCACTCCCCAAGCAGTCAGGGCTACTCCTCAGCCAGGCAGCAATAAGGGATGGCCAATAGCACTTTTTGTTCCTTCACCTGCTCTGCAGGAGGGTTCCCAGCCAGGGAGATGAGCGCATCAGCACGTTCACTTCCCTCAAAACCCTCAGTGCATTGGGCATGGCACAGTGCCTAGGCTGGATGCCAGCACTGTGTGCACCAACAGGGACACCAGCAGTGCTCAGCAGCGCCCAGGACAGTGCCAGGAAGGTTCTCCTTTCTCTGGTGAGCCCTCAGGCTTGTTACGAGCAGCACAATTGCACAACACAGGAGTCTGGGGATTTTTCTGGGCCAAGACAGGCTTGGGCTCAGGCTGAACCAGCCCAGCAGTGCACACGGATCCCCAGCAGCAGCACCTCACCCGCTGCTGTTATGAAACATGGGGATACACAAGGGCGTGAGAGCAGCACTGCCACTAAGAACAGCCCAAACACCATTTCTCAACATCCACATCTTCCCCTCTGCAGCCTCACTCCTCCGACAGTCCTAACAGCTGAAGGACTAGAGAATAAAGGAGCACTGAAGAGCAATAGGAGGGTCCCAGCAGGGCAGCCCTTCTCTGCAGGGACATGCAAGCCGCAGATCCCAGCTAGAGCCTCTCCTGCTTTAATCCCCACAGATCCTGCCTGGAACACACAGGCTAAAGCAGCGGGAGCCATGCACGTCACTGCAATGAAGAATACTCCTTTGTGTTTGCAGCCTGACCTATTTTCCCTTTTCCCCATCTGCACCACACTCTCATTTATCCCTGACCTGTGGGTGGGCTTTGTCCCCACTTCCCAAACCTTCCAGCTCAGCACCAGCAAAAACTCCTACAAGGCAGGCAGACCAACACTGTCACCATGCAGGGACATGTGGGAACAGGGGGAGCTTATGCAGGCACCAGCCTGCTCCCCAAGTGATTATAGAGCACTGGAACACAAACAGGAAAGGAAAAATTGCAGTCGGACCCAAAGCTGGACTCTGTGTTACATTTGAAAACATCTTGCTTGTATAACAGAGTCCCTGCCCAGCTTGTCCTGAGCCCTGGCAACAGACAGCACTCGGATGGACTGAGCACATTTAGAGCACAGCTGGCTCCATCCTGCCAGCACAAGGATCACATGCTGGAACAACAGGAAAAGGCTTTTTCCATCAGCACCCATTTTCCATAGAAGGAACAGGGGAAATGGGACAACCAGGCACAGACAGAGGATTATCTGCGCACGGCTCAGAAATGTGCTCAGCCCAGGCAGCATGACCCCAGCCTGGATGCTTTCCAAGCACAGCCTGCTGTTCCCAGGCACATATGATGCCGGTGTGACTGCAGTGCATTTATTCCCCTACAACAACACACATGTTGTCAGAACCCAGAGGATGCAGACAGATCATCAGCTCTCCCATCCCATATGGGGACACCTGGGACCTTCCCACCAGCAGAGGAAGGTGATGTCACCCAGCCCTCAGCAGTCCCGTTGGCTCAAGGAGATCTTTGTGCTGTCCCAGTGACCTGATGAGGGGTTACAGAGGAGATAAGGCCACACATTCCTCAAAGCCCTCTACCCATAGGTCAGGAAGCAGTAGAGTTGCAGCAAGGGAATGACTGCTTAGGGAAAGCCCATCACAGCAGTGATGTGTCTCAGGGCAGTAGTCACAACACAACACTGGTTTGCGAACAGAGGAACAACTTCAAACAAGGCTATCTAGAACAGCCACAGAGCAAACACTGCCTGTGTGCACAGTGGCCTTTTAGTGCCTTGCTAACTGGACTCTGAAGAACCACAAATGGAGCATACCATCTGCAGGGCAGCCAGCAAGGCCATCCCTGTCCCCAGCACTGCACCCACAACCATCCCTCAGAGACACACAGTGCCATCCATAAGCAATTCTCTATCATCACCCTCCTCCTCACTAACAAGCTCTGAATGCTCGTGGTTTTGTTATCAGTGAGATAAAGCACTGTGCACAAACCACACCAGGAGCCTGTACTGTGTAAACAAGAGGAAGGGAGAGGGCTTTCAGCCCCCAGTGCCCTCCTGGCCCTGCTCAGTGGTGGGAAAAGATGACTCCTACCCTCCATGCCATGCCACCAGACAGCTCACTGTGGTACATGGAATATGAGCAATCCCATAACCTGACAATCCTCTGCCCACCCTCCCCTTCCCCGGCATCCTCAGAAGCAAAAGCACTGCACAGGTCTCAAAGACAAGGCACTGTAGCACATACAGAATGCATCCTCAATGGGTAGCAAAAAAAATATTATTTAAAAAAAAAACAAAAACCACCAAACCACACTTTAAGCTAATGATGGGAATCGGCTGCTCTTATTGAAGTCGTCCACCCACTTTTCAGTTTGAGAATTAATTTGTTACATGCAATGTGAAAACATGGGAGCAGGGCAACCCACGCCTCGGGGCAGGCAATGCTCAGATGTGCAGACAGCACCTTGCACAGCAGCACAGCCAGGTCTGGATGGGATGAAGGCTGACCCAGCTCTGGCGCTGTGCTCAGCTGCCCCGAGCCAGCAAGCCCCAAAACAGAGAGCCCAAACACGTCCCTGCAGCTCACCTTTGTCACCAGGGCACTGAGGCAAGCGGCACTCTCACCTCCCACCCACCAGCTCTCAATCGCTCGCAGAAGAGTTAGCTGGGGAACTACAGACCCGTATTTCCTTTTGTGATTTTAAAATCACTTTCATTTCCACTAAAAGAACATGCAAGGGGAAGAAACCCCAATTGGGTGCCATTTCTGTCGTAGTATCATGACTTGAAATAAAGGCTCCCATGACAAAAACAGCTCCACCCTCTGCCAAAGTCATCCTGTCCCCACTTCTCAGTACCTCCTGCCTGGTACCATGCTGTCATCACATCCAGCTGGTTCCTATTGGTGTAACCTGGCCATAGACAGTTATGGGGGAATGAGGACACTGCCAAAGACCTGCTCTCTTCATGTACCCATACGGCTGTGTTTGTAGCAGCACAGAGCCACAAAGAGCCCTACTGAGCTGTTTGGCATTAAGGTCACAGGACCATCCGTGGAGAGAAGCAGCTGTGCTGCCAGGTCAGTGCCCACCCCGCTGCCCACCATCCCCACCCTGTGCTGAGAGCTACAGTACAGCACTCACTGCCATACTCTGCTAAGGGAAATGGCACACAGTGCTCTGTCACCAGCTGGACCATCAGAGAATAAACACAGTGGCAATAAACACAGACCAGCAGGGCCAGGTCTCGCTCATCCCACCCACTGTCCCTATTGTTTCTTCAAAGCTACTCACAGAAACCCTTTTTCTAAACGACCCCTAGGCAAGAGATCTGGTCATTCTTCCCTTACCATGCCTCAGACCTGCAGTTTTCACCATGTGATTTGTAATGGCAGCATGCTGTAAGTACACCCAGTGCTGCTGTGCTGACCTTATTTCTCCTTCCAGATCAGAACAGCTGCAGGAGCACAGCTGACTCCAGCCAGCCAGCCGTGCCCCCATCCTGCCCAGCCACACCAGGAACCTGCAGCCTAACAAACCCTAAATTTTCCTGTAATTAATCTAACAAGCCCACTGTTCTGATCTGCCCAGGAGCAGGGCAGCACAGAACCATGCCAGACAAGCCAGGCTAACGGCTGCCAACGCCTGCCTTCCCAACGATGCTGAAGGCTCCCTGCAAGTTTTCCATAGGAAATTCACCAGCTCTGTGCTCAGGCAACACCTCTCCCACCCAGCACTCACACAGCAGTGCTCCACGGACTCAGCCTGGCCCAAATCACAGCCCCAACCCTCCGAGCACCGCACAGAAGCTTACTTTAGGATGAGATTAACTTCTCCAAAGCGATTTGCAAAGAAGGAACGGGCCTTTCTGCGCTAAAAACACCACCCACCCTGGACTCGCTCTTTGCCTCCACACAGACCATCGCGCGTAAGCCGGACCCGCACGGCAGCAGCCCGCCAAGGATCGGGCTCTCCCACAGACGCTGGAAGCAGGAATTAAAAGGGCTCCCGGCAGCCCGGAGCCACGCACCCCGCGCCCGGGGCCCACCCCGCATCACCTGCCGGGCGCCGCCCGCCGCGCCGGGCCCGGTTCCGTTGAGCAGCGGGGTTGTCTCCCCCGCACGCTCGTCCTCGTCGTCGCGGGGGTCGCGGCCGGACCACGACACCTTCTTGGAGACGTTGGCCATGCGGAGCGACTGCGGCTCCGGCGGCCCCTGCCTCACCGGCCGGTCATGTGACACCCGCCGGCGTCACGTGAGCACTACGGCGGCCGGCGCGGCGGTCGCGTCCCGGGGCACCATGGGAGTTGTAGTCCCCGCACACTGCGGGGCTGCGCTCAGCCCGGGGCTCGGCACCGCCCGCGGGGTTCTGTGGCTCCCGGCGGGCAGGGCGGACAGGCGGGGCGGTGAGAGCTGGGCAGGCGGCTCTGGCTCATCGCGGGGCACTGGCGTTTCTGTGCCCCAGCCTCCCCCGTTGTGTCTCAGTGGCAGATGCTGGCGGCCGGCACCCGGCTGTCACCCGTGAGCACGGCGGCACGGCGAGGAGAGCCCGAGCACCTGGGAGCCGTGCGGGTTTCAGAGTTGTACGTTAAAACCCGCCTGAAACTGAATTCTGTACAGCCTGCTGTAGGATGCTGCGCCCAGTAGGGCTGTGAGCGGCACCGAGTGCTGCAGTGAAAAGCAAGACCAAAAATAGATGCAATTTCCTCTCTCTCTGAAGCACTTTAATAGGAATAATGGGGCTGTATGTGCTCCTGGGGGCAGGAGCTGGAGATGTGGAGGAGCAGACTTCTGCCTCATGCCCCCCACGGCCTGCCCACAGCTCCACAGGGACACAGCAACCCCTCGGTGACATCTGGCTGTGAGGCAGCCCGCTCTCTGTGTCCCATCACCCAGGGGATGCAGCTCACAGGCTCTACAAGCCACCAGTGAACACTGGGAGCCAGCACTGTTCCCGCAGCCACCACAGGCAGTTCTGGAGGCAGGCACACCTCCTCCTGAGCACCTCACCCTGCAGGGTGGCATTAGCCAGCGTCAGGAGGGGCCCTTGGGGCAGCCCCTGCCCAGTTGCCATGCTGGCCACCTCCCCAGGCAGCAGAGCCCTGCTCCAGAGGGCCAGGCCAGCCAGCTGGCCCAGAAAGGGCACAAAGCCCCCACTGCGGGATTGCTGCTGACCCAGCACCAGTGAGCCCCCAGCGGGAACCTCATAGCCCTGCTGGAAGCCAGAGCCAGCAGCAAGCAGCCTCCTGTCCACATAGAAACGGTACTGGCCATGGCTGGATGACCAGGTGAGGCAGAGGTGGTGCCACTTGCCATCCAGGAGTGGTGTCACCGGGAGCTGCCGAAACTCTGCATCCCCGATGAAAAAACGTGCAGACCCAGGGTGGTCCCCGTGCAGGGCCAGCTTCCTGCCCTTGGCCTCGCTGTAGGACAGGACAGTGCCGAGGTGAGTTGCCGGGGTGAGCAGCCAGGTGCAGAGTGACAGTTCCCGCAGCCCCATGTACAGCCTCGGCTGGAGCACAGCACCACTGCTGGCTGAAGTGTTGGAGAACAGAAGCACGGAGCCCACACTGCACACTGGGGAGGGAAAGCAGCACTCAATCACAGCTACAAGGACAGATGTCCCTAGGGCTTCAGAGCAGGCTGTGCAATCCCTGCAACCCCCACCACAGGACTTGGGTGAAGTCCCATATTTTAAAATGGAACCAAAGGCAAAGCCGTGTCACACAGAGCCCTGACACCTGTCAGCACCAGGACCGGACCACCCCCCCTGTTCCACTGATCAGGTAAGGGACCTGCACCCACCTGTCTCTGGCTGTTGGAGGGCCAGGAGCTGCTCCTGAGTGCTAGTGGCTGAAGTGGGCAGCACTGCTGTGACAGCTTTGGTGTCACCAAGGGGCTCAGCATCCTCCCCGGGCATTCTACTGGGTCCAGTCTCCACCAGCACCCGTTGCCTTTGCTCCCAGTGACGCTGCTGCTGCCTCACCTTGAGGGGCCGAGAGCTGAGAGTGCTGAGGGACACTGAATGCTGCAGCTCCTGCTGGTTGTGTGCTGCATCCCGCAGGCTTTGTGGCTCAGCATGGGGGCTCAGGGCTCGCCCTTCCAGCCTCCTTACCCTGCGCTGCAGCCGCTGGCTGACAGCAGCCAGGCGGGCCAGCTCAGAGCCCAGTGCAGCCCGAGCTGCATCGGCTGCCTCTGCCTGCTCTGCCAGCGACCGAAAGCGGCTGTCGATATTGTAGGAGATGTTGTAGTTCCTGGCGATGCTCTGGAGATGGTTCAGCGTCACCTCCTGGAACCAGCGAAACTGCAATGGAGTGGTGTGAAGGACACCACAGGGATGAGTGAGCCCTGCTGTGCTGCGCCCCCCAGGCTGCCCAGCACCCACCTGCTCCTCCAGCCGCCGCAGCCGCCACAGCAGAGGGAGACTGCGGGTTGTGAGCCCTGGGGCATCGGGCAAACTGCCCTGTGGGGTGGCAGAGAGCAGCAGGCAGAAGAGCAGCACTGACCCTGCCATGCTGCTGTCGAATGCTGTCTGCCCGCAGCTCCAGTTCCAGCCTCTGGTGCTGCTCCCTGAGATGGCCTCCACTGTGATGAGGTTTACAGGAGGTGCTGGCGCAGCCTCACAGCCACCGAAGCCAGGAGCTGCCCCCAGCCATCCCACTCCAACGTGGCTGTTCCTGCAGCCCTGGAGCTGCCGGAATCCTGCTGCCTGGGAACTGAGCTGTGCCCGCAGGGGCAGCCATAGAAACATTCGTGGCAGATGTGCCCCTGTTGGGCCCAGGTGTGCAAGGCAGAACCTAGAGGACAGCATGGTGGGGAGGAGGTTTGGGCTGATGCAGCGATTGAGAACCTACAGGGCAAACAGGCAAGGCACACCAAGGCAGGGCAGAACAGGATGGTGAAGTCAGGGCAGGACAGTGCAGGACAACATAGTGCAGGTTAGCGCAGGCTGGTGCAGCCCAGGGCAGTACAGGACAGCACGAAGCAGTGCAGGATGGCGCAGGTGGGATGGCACAAACAGGATGGTGAAGTCAGGGCAGCGCAGGACGGCGCAGGACAGGACGAGAGGGCTCAGGACATCGCCGCGCACTTTGCTATATGCCACCACGGGGCGGCAGCACGCGTGCATCGAGCGGCCACCTGGGGGCGGGGCTTCAATGCCAAGGGGCGGGGCTTGTGTGGCAGTGGGCGGGGCTTCTGAGCCAGAGGGCGGGGATTCCGCGCCAAGGATCGGGGCTTCGGCACCAGGTGGTGGGACGGCGCCGTGAGGATCCCGGGGCTGCGGCGCGTCCCATTGACCCACCGGGAGATGATGGCAGCAGTGGTGACCCTCACCCGCCGGATCACTCTGTCAGGTGTGTTCTCTTGCAGGATGGTGAGTCCCTGTGTCCCGTGCCCCCTGCTGCCGGTCCAAGCAGGAGAGTGCCCTATGACCCCGTGTCCCCACACGACCCCTTTCTGTATATTGCAGGGTCCTCATGTCCCCTCTCCCTGCGTCGGGTTCCTCCATATCTCTGCACAGCCCCTGTGTCAGGGTTGTCACACACGTTCCCTCAATGTGCACTGGAATGCAACCAGGCATTGGTGAGTCCCTGTTCCCTCCATGTCCCAGTTCTGTGCATTGCAGTGTCTTCATGTCACCCCAACAACTGGGTCACAGTGTCACCATGCCCCCCTACAGTGCTCATGGTGTCCCTATGCTCCTCTCCCTGCCCACCCTCAACCCCAGGTTGTCTTTGCTGTACCTGGGGCAGCTCAGCTTTGCTGTTCTGAAAGAGATGAGGTTGATGAAGCAGGACCTGCCTTTCAGGAACTCATGCTTGCTGGGCCTGATCCCCCACCTGTCCCACGCACACTGAATGATCCTACTCCAGATAGTCTGTTCCGTAACCTTTCCTGGCACTGAGATCAGACTGACTGGTTAGTCATTCCCTGGTTCGCACAGACTGCCTTCACCATCTCTCCTATACTGATCCCCCAAGCTGGTTGCTTTCTGTTCTGGGACTGCACCACTCATCAGGCTTAGAAGGCGCAGAATCTTCTCCTAATTTCAGCAGATTCCAGTTCCTTCAGTTCCATGGATGAACCACAGTGACAGCCCACACCACCCTGCTCCCAGCCCATCACGCTGCATAGAGCAAGCTGTCCTGCAGTGTGGCAGAGAGGCAGCACTGAACCCGCTGTGCTGCTGCCGAATGCTGTCTGCCCGCAGCTCTAGGTCCTGTGCTGCTCCCTGGGATGGCCTCCACTGTGATGAGGTTTGCAAGAGGTGCTGGTGCAGCCTCACAGCCACCAAGACCAGGAGCTGCCCCCGGCCATTCTGCCCCAACGTGGCTGGTTCTGCAGCCTTGGAGCTGCCAGAGCCCTGCTGCCCAGGGACTGAGCAGTGCCTGCAGAGGCAGCCATGGGGACACTGCCACGGGATGTAGCCTCACCAGGCTCAGGTGCGCAAGGCCCCCAGAGGGCAGCAGAATGGGGAGGTTTGAGGTCTGCAGAGCAGGTGGAGCAAGCAGGCAGAGCATGATGCAGCGCTAGGCGAGGCAGAGCAGTGCAGAATGGTGAAGGCAGGACAGGACAGTGCAGGACAACACAGTGCAGCTTATTGTAGGCTGGTGCAGTCCAGAGCAGTGCAGGATGGCCCAGGTGTGATGGTGCAGGAGACAGGACAGGACAGGACAGCGCAGCACAGCGCAGCGCACTGTGGTTCACGCCCGCCACCACGGGGCGGCAGCACTTCAGTGCCGCGCGGTCAGCTGGAGGCGGGGCTTCAGGGCCAGGGGGCGTGGCTACGGGGTGAGGGAGTGCTCACGCTAAAGGGGCGTGGCTTAAAGGCTGTGGGCGTGGCTTAAAGGCTGGGGGCGTGGCTTTCAGCGCCAAGGAACGGGGCTGCGGGGCTGCGGGGCGGGGCTGTGACGCGTGGGGCCGGTCCGCGTCCGCTTGGCCTTCCCGGAGAACATGGCGGCGGCAACGGTGACCCTTGCCCGTCGGATCGCTCGATCAGGTGCTCCCCTCACGGCTGTGCTATCGACGGGATTGAGTTCTCGTGTACCCTGCTGCCGGTCCGAGCGGGAGCATCCCCACGGACTTTGCCCTACGGCAGCCCCACGGGGGGGTGGTCCGGTGCCCCCGTGTCCCCTCACGGCCCTTTTCTGTACATAATAGGGTACACGCGTGCCATCTCACTGGGTCGGGTTCCTCCGTGTCCCCACGTGGCCGCTCGCAGCGTGTCAGGGTTGTCGCATGTCTCCTTGTAGGGGTCAGGGTGTCCCGATCACCCCCACCACGTGTTCGGGTGTCCCCGTGTCACTGCACCAAGGTGTGCCATGTCCTGTTCCTCCCATGTCACCCTTCTGTGCACTGCAGCGTCCCCGTATCCCCCCGCAGTGTGTCACGGTGTCCCCGTGTCCCCCCACAGTGCTCATGGTGTCCCTATGTCCCTCTCCCCGTCTGCTCTCATCCCCCTGTTCCCCAGGTGTGCTGTTTCCCCGCAGCAGCCCACAGGTTTGGGGCCAAGCTTCCCGGCAGCCCCCCGGCCTCCTTTCCACCCAGCACCGTGCCTTCAGCAACAAAAAGATCCTGGTGGAGCTGGACACAAGTTCAGGTACACATCACCCCACTGAGCCCCACCGTACAGCCCTGGGCATGGGGACCCACCAGAGCCCCATACGTTCTGCCTTCAGCCATGTAGGGCCAGCAGACAGAAGAGTGGGGGGAGAGGGATGTCACCAGGTGTGGGCATTTGGTGTGGCTGTGTGCCACGTGCAGATCCCAGCTTCCATAGGGTCCCTGCAGAAGCAGGCTGTCCTCCAGGGAGCAGCTGTTGGGATTTCTGTGCCCTGGCAGCCAGGTGCAGCTGTCACCGGGCCGTGTCCCCTCTGCTTGGTGTTTCCCAGGGTCTCCTTTGGTCATCGGGCCCCTTCTGTTGGGCCTGCCCTGGGCTCAGGGCCTTGGGAGGGCCTCTGGGGAAGGGCTGTCCTGTCTGGGAGGGGTGAGGGGCTGCAGGCCTGAAGAACCAGGGGGAGAAAAGATAGGATCTGAGCAGAGTGGGAAGGCAAGAAGGCAGATGGAATTCTGAACACAACAGGTGTAGGAGAGGTGTGTGCTGCTCTGCTGCGGGGTTTTTGATGCCTCTGTGTTTACTACGGCTCAGGTGTAGCCACGATGAAGTTCAAGAGCCCTCCAGTCAACAGCCTCAGCCTGGACTTCCTCACTGAGTTCTGCATAAGCCTGGAGAAGCTGGAGAACGACCGGGCCTGCAGGGGCCTGATCATCACCTCGGTACGTGCTGCCCTGGCATGGCAGTGCGCTGCAGGACGCTTTGCCTCTGGGTGATATTTATGTTTTCTTGGTTCCAGACCATCCCCAGAGTCTTCTCATCCGGCCTGGACATCATGGAGATGTGTGGGAAGAGCACAGAGCACTATGCTGAGTTCTGGAGAGCTGTGCAGGAGATGTGGCTCCGGCTGTACGGCTCCAACATGGTGACAGTCGCTGCAATCAATGCAAGTCCTTCATATTTGCTTTCCTGGCTGCTCTGTGTGCTCTGCTGCTTGCTGTGTAATGTTGTCATTGTGTGTGCAGGGACAGCCCCCAAACCAGTCTTGTCACTGCTGAAGCAAATACGGTGTTGGGATGTGCAGGTCTGCTGCAATTGGATATGGGAATGCTTGGGAGTGGGGGGCATCACAGTTTCCAGGTAATGCTGCACATGATGCTGAGGTGCAGCAGCGTTTGGGTGATGGGGAGCTCACACTGCACTCATGTCTGGCTAACAGGGGCTCGGACCTAAATATCACAGACACTGTTTTGTGCAGCCTCAGCCCCAGGAAGTCACTTGCAAGTCTGTAGAGTGCCTCTCACCTGCATACTGTTTCTTTTTCACAGATGAGACTCATGGGAGTTGTCTGGTCTTGTTTGGCTGTTGCACTGCATTTATAGCTGGAGGGAAGGAGGTTGGGAAAGAGCTGTGCAGTACTGCAAATAATTGGCCTCGGCCCTTTGGACAGCAGTGCTTTGGAAGCTGGGCAGTGGAGCACATTCTTGCCTTATTCCTTTCTGTCTGGTTTGTCCTCCTCCTGCCAGAACTGTGGGCCAGTAGGGAAATGCACTTTGAATTGCAGTGTTCCTAAATATGTTACCCACTCAGCATCTTATTTTCATTTTTCAGTGCAGTACAGCTTTGGCAGCTCATAGCTCTGTGTCTGTCTGTCTTTGAAGATGGCTGGGTCTCTGACCAGCTTTCCGCAGGCATCCTATGCAGGGCTAAGCAGGCACTGAACTGTGGTTGAAATTGAAGTTATTTAGATGGCAGTCAGGGTCACAGACTCATAAGAAAATACCACAACAAATCTCTGCAGGTTTTGCAACCTAAGCAGTGTTTTCTCTGCAGGAGTCTCTGAATTAAAGAGTGAAGCTCAATGGGAGCAGAGCAGTTACTTAGATTTTCAGAAACCAAGAGCACTAAAAATGAAAGGAGAAAGTCTAGCAAGCATATCAGACATCTTTAGTGGCAGTTTTGAATCAGGTGATTGGAGCCTTTGGCAGACATCTGTGTTGTCCTTGGCAGCTCTGTCACTGTGTCTTCCCTGTTCTGGAGAAAACAGTGAGGCTGCTGTGGGTGTGTGGGCACTCATAGCTGGAGCACGAGGGCAAACCTGAACTCATTGCTTCCTTCTCTTTGCCAGGGATCCAGCCCAGCTGGAGGATGTCTCATTGCCTTGTCGTGTGACTACAGAATCATGGTGGAGAACCCCAAATACGTCATTGGCTTGAACGAAGCCCAGCTGGGCATTGTGGCTCCCTTCTGGTATGCCAGTGTTACAGAGAGGTCCCTAAAAAGAAATCACAGAGGTTTCAATAAGCTTTAATTGGCCACTGGGATAGTTTTGATCCTTCCTTTCTTGGTAATTGCAGCTGGAGGTGCAGTGCCTCAGTTCTGACTCTGCAGCCCATACTGAAACCAGTGCTGGGAACATGCTTTCCTGTGGGTGCGTGCTGTGCACCTGCAAAAGCTTTTCCTGCCATCTCTCCTAGGTTTAAGGACACATTTGTGAATGCTGTGGGACACCGAGTTGCTGAACGCTCCCTCCAGCTGGGCTTGCTGCACTCTGTGCCCGAGGCCCACCAGATTGGCCTTGTGGACGAGGTGGTGCCAGAGGAGAAGCTGCAGGACAAGGCTGTGGCTGTTGTGGCACAGTGGCTGGCTCTGCCTGGTAAGGGAGGCACCTCTTGCTGCTGCTGCTGCCCTCAGGGCAGCAATTGGATGCGGGTGTGGGGGTGTGCATGGGAAGGACAGGAGCTGAGGCTGGTATGTGGGGCTCCCATTTGAAATGAAGGTGTAAATGGTGGGGAGTGCTGTTCATGACTCTAAGTCAAAGCCAGCAAGGGTTTATCTGGTTGAAGATGTCCATAATATGCAGGTGCTAAAGTCCTGGGTCCTCAGTATGTGGGACTTTCACTCTCATTTCACTGATACGATGTATGTGCAACATCATGAAAGAGATTTACACCTGCATGGCTGTGCATGGTGTGTGTGGCCAGATGTATGCTGAAGGCCTCAGCTCCAGCAAGCAGCAATGCTCCAGCAGCATCCCCATTCCATGCTGAACTATGTGGGTTATGCTGGGATGGCAGGCAGAGCCCAGAGCGTGAAGCAGGGATGAACCCTTGGGGACAGTGCTGATGGCTTTTGTGTGGTATGTTTGGCACGTGCAGAATATTTTCTAGAGGCTGAAGGAGTTGGGAACACTTCAAGCCAGAGAAGTTTCAAAGTACAGATGATTTTGTTTAGCTGCTGCTGTCCTGGTCCCAGTCATGCGTAACAGTGTGAGGGTTGGGCTCTAGAGGGCACAGGGAGGAAGAAGGTGCACAACTTTGCAATGTGTCCCAGTAGATCAGTCATTTCCACAGTGGATTAGAGATCAGAATTTATTGCAGGTCAGGTTCCAGGCAGCTGAGTTTTCCTGCACCTTCCCATGCTTTTTAAAGAGCCCTTCAGTGCATGCTACCTCTGCTTTGAGGCAGCAGCACGTGATGACAAGGAGAGCTGGCTGCTACCAGAGGGGACCATGCACACTCTGCATCCTCACTGTCCTCTCCACAGACCATGCCCGTCAGCTCACCAAGTCCATGATGAGGAAGGCAGTGCTGGACCACATGCTAGCTCACCGGGAGGAAGACATTCAGAACTTTGTCAACTTCATATCGAAAGACTCCATCCAGAAGTCACTTTCAATGTATATGGAGATGCTGAAGAAGAAGAAGAGCTGAGGAGCAGCCAGCAGAGGCCCAGTCCCAGGAGCTTTTGTGACCCTCTGTAACACTGCATTATTTGTAGACTTTCACGGTGAAGCTGTCTGCAGTGATGGGTGAGATGCTGCCTGCTCTGTGGCCACCACAACCACCCCCTCCTGTTAGTCCCCATAGAGTGCCTGTCACCACTGTTGCCTTCCTGAGGGTGGGGAGAGCTGCTGGCTCATCTCACCCAAGGAACAAACAGAGAGAGCCTTGACAACACTGTGGATCAAGCCTACATGTCCTTGGGTATCCTCCCTCCTGTCCAACAACTGATTGTATAAATGTTTGTCAATAAAGCATTTGATGAGGTATGAGATGTGTGCTTCGTTCCAAGTATGTCTGCAGTCACTGCTTGCTTCCTGGCTCCTGGTGGACTAGGAGGACTCTGCCACAAGCCATGGAATGGGGGCTTGGGTGTAGGCAGTGCCTGGCTGCAGCTCTTCTCCAGAGCAGGCTCAGGAGCATCCCACATACAGGGCTCATGGATGGGGCTGCAGAGCACGTCTTCATGGGGGTTGGTGGGAGCTGGATCTGCGTTCTTGTCTGTGGCAGCAGGAGGAGCTCAAGCCATCAGCTTCACCTCGACGGGGTAATGGTCGCTGACTGCCAGGGCCTGCAGGAAAACAGGAGGCAGGGAGGTGTAACACCAGAGTTGTGTGAGCCCTGTGCCCCTCACAGTACTGATGGGGCCCTTGGGGTGCTGTCATCACTGTGTGGGACCCTTCTGGCTGCTGGATGTGGATGGGATGTCCCCAGCCTGGGAGTCATGGAGTTCTGCCCCTGCCATGCCCATTTCTGCCCATGAAAGCCACAGAAACTCCCCATACATCTCTCTTCTCACAGGGATGGGCAGTAATCCCCAAATCCCCCTCGTGTCGTTGCATGCATCCCTCGGCATGCTTAGCCTCATGTTGGCTGGCTGTGGGGGACAGCTGTGTGCCTTAAGTGAGAGCTGCATGCCTTCTCTGCTGTACCTGCAGCCATGGCCAGAGCCACCTGGGGCTGCAGCTGAGGCTGCTTCACCCTGCGGTTGTGCTGGCTCAGAAGTGCAGCTGGGTGGACTGGCTGGGCCCAGGCTGCCTAATCCCAAACACTGGCAGCCTCGTGGTACCAGGTTGTCTTTGCTGCACCTGGGGCAGCTCAGCTTTGCTGTCCCAAACAGCTCCGTGCACAGCAGACGCTGAGTCCTGGCTGATGATCCCTGCTCACCTCTTCCTGCTCCAGCTGGAAAGCACGCTGGAAATTGTACACAGTGGCTGAGTTTGGCACGATGCTCCGCTTCAGCTTGGCTCCACACACCACAATCCTGCAAGGGAACAGCATTTCAGTGGGCACTGCTTCCATTAAAGCCTCTGTGGGGCCCTGTGGCACAGAGCCACGGCAGCACCCACCTGTCATAGGCACAGTCTGACTTCCCCACGGTGGTGTCGGCGCTGTCTGGGATCAGCCACTTGAAGACGTCGCTGCTGCGCAGGCGGATGGAGGACCAGTCGCTCTGCTTCACGTAGCTGCAGTCAGCATTGAAGTCCCCCAGGAACACGATGTTCTGCGGAAAGGCCGATGTGGGGGCTCAATTATCCACCTTCAGAGCGAGCCCAGCTTTGTGGCCATCCCTTCCTCCCCTGGAAGGAGACGGGGCCATAGCAGGGATGGTGCTGCTGGGACACTCACATCTGTCCCCCACTTGTTGACCACAGCCAGGTAGACATCGTAGAGCGCATCGATCTCAGCAACAGCATCGTGCGGGGCTGAGTGCAATGGCACCATCACAAACTCCTCCGCTTCTGTGTGGAGAAGAACACGAACCTGGTCACCCATCCTCATTCAGACCTTGGAGCCGTCCCCCGCCCCATGCTGCTCACTGCTGTGGGGTGCTGACACCCTGAGGACGAACGGCTCCCGGCTGAAGATGTCCTGTGGATCCTCATACTGATAGGTGTCCACCACCGACACGACGTCTGTTCTGTGGGATGAGGGGACGGTGACCCTGGGCTCAGCATGGCCCACCATCATGGCCCCTCGCTCAGCCCTGCCGTAGTGGCTTTGATGTCCTGAACTCCAGCCAGTGACATGGGAGCCCTGTGTCCCCTCTGCAACATGCCAAGGGGGACAGCAGCGTGCCCACCCCGTTACCTGTAGATGAAGAGGTACATCTCCTTGTAGTTGTCCCGTCCCAGGGGCCCGCTGATCTCGTAGTCATATGGGGATGAAGACACACTGCAAATGGAGGACAGTTGCACAGCTGGCACGGTGCTGGCACAGCCCTGGGATGATCCTAGCTCTGCCAACCACAAGCTCCATTCTCCCTGTACGCCAGCAGGGTGCAGGTCTGACCCCTGCCAACAATTTCTCTGCAGGGATGCTCCCCATCTTCATTCACATCTAAGCTAAATGAGGTTAATTGGCAGCCTGGAGCCTGCAGAGCCTGGCGTCACCCTTGCTGCCACGCTTGCTTTGTGGTGATGCTGCAGGGGATCAAAGGGGTGAGGACATGGGCTGGGCATACCTGCTTGGGAGCACTCATCTCTGCACAATCTCACTCAGCACTGAGTCCCACCAGTGGAGTAGCCCCACTGAGGCTGATTTGTCACATTTTGCCAGACTAAGCCCCAGCTGTGTGGTCCCACTTCATCCCCAGCCTCAGCTTTCCCCTGTCCCATTGCATTTTCCAGATTCAGTGTGTCAGAGCTGTAGTTCCTTTCAGCCTTCTGCGTTCAGGTGTGACCTCAGCCTTCACAAGGATTTTGCCCTGTTGGCACCCCTGTGCCCCCAGGGTGATGGCACCCAGCAGGCTCCAAGCTGCCCGCAGGCACCTCAGCTGCTCCTTCCCATTTCCTTCTGCAAAGCTACAACAATTTCCTCTTATTCCCCTTCCAGAAAACAAACTGTCTTTCAACAGAATTTCTTTTGTTTTCCTTTTATTGCTCAAGCAGCTTCATTTTCCCTGCTCAGTGCCAGCATTTTAACCCCAGTGGCTTCAGCCCCGGTCCCTCTCATACCTGTTGAGCTGCTCCAGGAGCTCGGTGACAGCGCTGAGATCGGAGTCACGCACCTCCTGCACCAGCACGACATCATAGCGGCGCAGGATCTGCAGTGGTGATGGTGAGAAGAAGCCTGGCACTGTGGTGGGTGACACTGGAAAAATGTTCCAGCCACCACCATGTCCCCAAGCAGCTCCAGCACAGGGGCCGTATTTAAGCTCTGTCCCTGCACACAGCACATCCCCACATGTTCCCCCCAGCACCGGCTGTACTCACACTGATGATGACACCTGCCACGCTCTCATCAGACATCTTGCTGTCCCCAAATGCCTGGATGTTGAAGGCACCGATGCGCAGCATGGCAGTGGCTGGGCACAGGAGAGCCGTGCTCAGCAGGGACAGTGCCAGCACCACGGTCCCCATTCTGCCAGGAGGGATTCTGAGCCACAGGATTCAACGACAGGAGCCAGGCTTTACTCTGGGCTTGGAAATGGGCTTCGCATATGGGGATAGAGTGAAAAAATCCACTTAGGTCCTTCCCAACTGCTGTGCCCTGGTGGGTACCAAGCCAGCAGGTGGACTGCCACAAATTCCACAGGAAGATGAAGCTCATTCTGCCTAGGAGCGCCTCTACCCATCGCTTGTGAGCTCTGGGAGCTCCTAGCCCTGCTCCCCATGAGGCTCTCCTGCTCCCGCTGCAGGCTCCTTCCCTCTCTGCCTGCACCCCAGAATATTTTGCATCCTTCTGTTTGCTCGCAGTCCGCTCCTGACCCTGCACTGCTATTCTGCATCCTTAAGCACAGCCACAGACCTCCCTCCATCTCTTCCACACTGCTCCCCAAAGCTGGTTGCTTCCTGTGCTGGGACTGCATCGCTCATCAGGCTTGGAAGGTGCAGGAGCTACTCTTAATTCCAGCAGACCCTGGTTTCTCCAGTTCCATGGATAAACCACTTAATGCCCACACCACAGGTACCCTGGCTCCCAGCCCATCACATCGCAGCCCTGAGAGGTACAGAGCCCCAGCTCCATCCTTACCTTGTGAGCACGCAGCGCCTCTGCCCTGCCGGCAGCAGGCAGGCTGTTTTATTCCCAGCTGAGACGCTGGAAAAGCAGGATGAGTCGGACACCCCCGTGGGTGTTTTGGCACAGGTTTGGGCTCCTTCCTACATTGGGAAACCAAAACCCGCACAGGGGCAGGGTGGGGCCAGCGTCAGCATCTCTGTGCTCAACACCATGAAGGGGCTGGAGAGGAGTTGGAGAAGTGGAGCAGCCCAGTGGGGCTGGGAGCGTGGGGGGCTCGAGGTGTGCAGCTGAGGTGGGTAGCTGGCAGTGCCCCCAGCCCAGCGCTATGCCATGTGGGGGGCAGGTGGCTGGAGGGGATGGCTGTAATGCAAGTGATTCAGACATGTAATTAGAAGGAACAGAAGGAAACAGCAGGGCATTCGGGTCAAGCCGGTTGGATCCTCAGTGGCACGACGAGCCTATGTGCAAGGGGTGAGCCACAAATGCCTGGAGCAGCCGCAATGGTCAGCCAGAATCACCCCAATGGTCACCCAAAGCAACCCTGCAGGTGCCCTCAAGCAGCTCCATTGGGCAACCAAAGCAGTTCCATTGGTTGCACAAAGCAGCCCTGCTCTTGACTCAATGAAATCCAGGGTGCAGTGCCGACACGGTCCAACTGGTGAGGCTGCAATATGGCAGAGACCATGTCCCAGGGTCCTCGTGCACACACTACACCCCAGGGGGGGTCAAAGCACAGAGCTGGCAGCTAGGGAAGTGACCTTTCTTCATGCCGGGACTCGTCAGGCTGTTGCACACACCACTGGCATGGCATCCTCACCATCAGTCACAGGGTGAGTCCAGTGTCCTCAGATACATCTTTGCGTTCCTGCAGGATTGCTAAGCTCAGGCTTTGCACCATCCCTGCAGGCAGTGTGTGGCCCAGTTCCTTTGGGAGAAGCATTTCCTCTTTCTCCTCTGGGACTGATGCCCCAAGGCATGGCCCTCCCTTGCAGCGGGGCTGCTGGGCATGCAGGGTCCTACAGGGCATAAAACATCCAAGTGGGACCCTTCACCCACAGGCACTGAAACCCCTGGGGAGGCACTGAAACCCTGGGGTGGTACTGAAACCCTGGGGAGGCACTGAAACCTTGGGAAGGCACTGAAACACCCGGGAAGGCACTGAAACACTGAGAAGGCACTGAAACCCCCGGGAAGGCACCACACCACTGAGTGGGAGCTGACTCACATCCTCCACCACCTGCTACCGTCATCACCAGCACCCATCAGACACCCTGCAGCCAGGAGAGCTCCAGCAGGATGTGGCCCCATGAGATGTAGGAAAAGCTGCTTGCATCACACGACTCAGCAACAGTGACAGGTCCTGCCTGAACCCTCCCAGGCCTTTCCCAGCAGCTTGCTTTCTTGCTTGCTCAGATAGGAGCTGCTCTTCCCACCCACAGGGGCTGATGCTCTCATCTTGGCTCCATGACAGGGATGCCCCATGGGAGGGGATTGCTGAGCTTTGGATGGGGGATGGAGGCAAACGTGAGCACCCTGAGCATCCCTCTGACCAAATAGTTGTTCTCTAGGGGTGTTCCTTTGCTGAGCACCCTCATGCCCTTGGGTGTGTCTCCAAAATGTGACATGGAAAAGTGGAAATGAGTCCTGTAGGATGGAAGCAAAGGCACGTGCATGGGGCTGCTCTGGGACACACAGGAGGTGGTAGGGTTTGCAGGGCAGGATGTGTGCAAGGAAGTGTGTTTGTGTGCAAAGGCTCCTGAGGGATGTGTGTGCGTGCATCCAGCTTGGAGCCATGCAGGTGTGCACGCATGGAATGGCACGCAGGCAATTGGAGTGCATGGGGTGCACAGCATTGTGTGCACATGGGACGGTGTGCATATGGAAGAGTGTATATGAGAGGGAGTGTGTGCATCAGCTGGCACGTGGGTGTGCACAGCACGCATGCAGGATGGTGCTTATGGGGTGTGTGATCATGGGGATGTGAGCTCGCTGATGGCACTCATGTGGGAGCAGCACCCTGCCACCAACTGAGCCTGAATCTGTCTCCAGAACACAAGGGCTGCACATGACATCATTTTAATGCAAGCTGAGGGCATCCCACAGTGGAAGGACCCCTGAGGGCTGGCTCCTTGCAGGGGCAGCATGCAGCAAATCAAATGGTTACAGAGCTTTGTTGGAGCTGGTGGTGCGTGGACTCCTCGCTGCTGGCTGTTGGCGCAGGTCTCAGCGGGCCTTCAGCGTCACCTCCACTGGGAAATGGTCACTGATGGCCAAAGCCTGAGTGCAGGGAAAGCAGAGGGGTGGCTTTGCTTGCACAGATCTGGTCTCCTTGCTGCGTCCAGCTGGGGCTCAAAGGTTCTGCTCCAGCCCCAAATGCAGACCAGACCCCAAATGTTGTTTTGCAGTGGTGCACAGGTGGCAGCAGGGCCACTTTCGGATGCCTGTACATACTCTCAGAGGCTTTGTGGATTGGAATAACAGCACCAGGCGAAACCCTCAGCCCCTCAGCAGGCCCCTGCCATCACCCATCCCCTGCCCCCTCACTCACATCCTTGTTCTGGATACGCAAAGTCTCCTGGAAGTTGTTGACTTTAGCAGAGCCATACTCAACCGCTTGGCGCAGCGCAGAGCCACAAGCAACGATGCTGTCAGGGTAACAGGGGGGGGGTCAGCACCTGCTGCTCCCCCCACGGCAGCCCCCGTGCCCACTGCTGTGCCACCCACCGGTCGTAGGCGCAGTCGGTGCTGGTGATGGTGGTGTCGGCGCTGTCGGGGATGAGCCACTCGCAGGAGCTCAGGGAGCGCAGGCGGATGGAAGGCCACTGCTCCGCGGTCACGTAGGAGCAGTCAGCGTTGAAGTCACCCATGAAGAAGATGTCCTGCAGGGCAGCGCTGCGCTGAGCCTGGCTCATGGCCCTGGTGCCCACAGCAGGGCTGCGCATGGGTCCAATGCCCACTGGTGAGCCCTGATCTCGGGTTGCCCCAAGAGTCAGTGGGGTTTTGTGGCCATATATCTGGCGTGGGCAGCCCTCCAGAGCCTTTCAGCCATGCCTGTAGGCTAGGAACAGACATTACAGGGCAGCAGGACCCATCCAGCTCTCTGTGGCAGAAGGGCATTGGAGCCAGCCAGCAGCTCTATGCCATCTCTATGCTCGCACACTGTGGGGTGGCACCCGCTCCGACAGGCACACAAGGTCTTCTATGGACTAGCATCTATCTATGGATGACTGCTAGGATGTGCTACAGCCCACCTGAGTCCCAGGGAGGGAGGAGGGACATCACAGTGCCACTTACGTTGGTCGCCCACTTGTCAATGACATCTGTGTAGACGTCAGCAAGTGCGCTGATCTCAGCTGGAGCATTGCTGGGCTCTGCGTGCAGGGGCACGATGACAAATTCATCCAACTCTGACAAGGACACAGCTGTCAGCCCCTGGGCATGGAGCCAGGGCAGCCTATGGGCTCCGTTGCTCTCCCTTTTCCCAAGCTCTCGTGGTTTTGGGAAGGAGGCAGGAGGTGGAGGAGAGATGGGAGTGTGTGAATGTGCACTGTGATGGGAGCTGGGAGGTGATGGGAGGTGGGACATGGTGGGAAAACCCTGGGGCACCTGCAGGTAGGAGAAAGCCCTGCAGCAATGAGTGACCATGGCGGGGACCCTATGATGGGTTTAGGCAGCCCTATAGGCTAGCAGTGGGGCTGATGGGGCTGGGGGCAGCAGTGTCAGTGGGAACAGTGACACAGCCACCATGCAGCAGCTCTGCTCACGCGTGGTGGGAGAGGAGAACTTCACGATGAAGGGCTCCCTGCTGAAGATGTCCGTCCCACAGGACTCGCAGCCATCATCATAGTAGTAGCTTTCCAGCACAGAGACAATGTCCGACCTGAAGGAAGAGAGTGGGAAGGTGCAGCTCCCTCCAGGAGGGGACAGCAGTTGGCAGGGGGACACTGGTGGCATCTCTTACCTATAGATAAAGACATACTGTTCCTTGTAGCTGTTCCGACCCAGGGGGATGCTGCTCAAAAAGCTGTAGGGGTACAATGATGCGCTGGGAGGAAAACATGGAGACAGTGAGGGAGGATCTTTCTGGCCATGCTGGAGATGTTGCAGTGCAGCAAGATGCTGCCCAGGCTCTGCCCCAGCACCCATTTGCTGGGGCAAAGTGCCATCAGGGTCACCTGTTAAGCTGGGATATCAGCTTCTTCACCGAGCTCAGGTCAGCATCCCTCACTTCCTGCACCAAGGTGATGTCGTACTCCACCAGGATCTGCAGGGACAAGCTGGGAGCTGCTCGCCCGTGGCTGGGAGCTGCTCATGTGGTGCCAGTGGGGGACAGAGAGCCCTGAGAAGGAGCCATCTGCCTTGGAGGCCCATAGAGGGACACAGAGGCCTCCAACACCATCTCTCCAGCATCCATCATGCCAGCAGCATATCAGGCATAAGCTGCTATGAGGTGCCTGGATGGCATCAAACAGTTCCTGTCCTTAGGCAGAGGCCAGTGAGAATGGAGACAGCCTGGGCTGGAGATGGGGATTGGGGACAGCAGATAGGAGAGTAGGTGGAGACATGGAAAATGCATGGATAGAGATACAGATGGATGGAGGTGTGTATGCATGCATGAATGTATGCTCTCACATGAATGGACAACCATCTCCAGAATGCCAGTCCCTGGCTGTCCCAAGCCAAATACATCCCAGGGACAGAGCACAGCCAGTGCTGCTCCTCTCCCCCAGCACTCACAGAGACAATGAAGTCTGCAATCGTCTGGTTGGACATCTTGCTGTCTCCAAATGTCCTGATGTTGAAGGCACTGATCCTCAGCGTGGTGGCTGCACGCAGCAGCAGTGCTGCAGCCAGCAGCTCCAGCACCAGCTTTGGGGCTGCCATCCTGCATGCAGAAGAGCAGGGATGGTCTGCAGACCAGGGGAACGAGTCCTTGTCCCTGCCTCATATGGGGCCCCATCCTGCTGTCCCAGTGCTGCCCATCCTCCTGCAGGCAGCCCGGACCTCCTGCAGAGCCTGAGCTGATAACTCTCACAGGAACAAATGCCATTCCAGGTGACTCAGAGCAGCTGCTCCTTCACTCACAGACACCTCTCTGGGCCTGGTGACAAGTGCTGTGGGAGCAGGAGCTGTTGGCCCAGCTGGAGCCCTCCTCGGCCCTGAGCACAGGTGCAGATCAGGGTTTTTCTGGGCATTTTATGTGCTGGAAGGACCTCCTTTAGAGCTGCTTCCCTGTGCTGTGCTGCAGATCTTTAGGTCACTGAGCTATGCATGGACACAGCCACTGCCACACGGGTGCTCGTGGGCTTCCCTGCTCTCCATGACCCACCTCAGAGGGGACATCTCAGTTTGTGCCCCTCTCATTGCTCCTCAGGTCTGTACCAGGTATCCAAAAGCCCCTATAGCAGCCGTGCTGGAGCAGAATGAGGGATGCATACCCCCAGCACTCCTGCATGCCAGCAGCATCCTTCTCTGGGGTGGGCAAGGACCCCTTGTAAGGGCCCTGACATCTCTCTGCACTTTGGGCTACCATGTCAGCCCCACTGCGCCTGCCCTGTCTGCACCCAGGAGAGCACGATAGGACCCTGCTCCAAAGCCACACAGCAGCCCCCGTCCACAGGTAAGGCATTTAGGGTAATGTTTCACTACGTCCTTCCAACACGATCAGATCTGAACTGTGGCCAAGCCTGTGTGCCCTGAGCACCTGGAGCAGCAATGGGATCTGCTGGTAGGACTGGGAAACAACCCCAGCTTTGAGGCTCCCCCAAGGCTTATTTTTGTGTCCGGGGCAGCCAGTCTGATAAAAACACTCAGTTTTTCCATTTTTCCCTCCTTGCTACAATGGCAACTGTTAAAGTTTCTAATGCTATAATATCTGGTAATGCTACCACATGGGAATGCCCCCACAGCTGAGGCACCCGTGGATGTATGCATGCACGCAGATGCTCAGGTGATGCCCGTGAGCTGCAGCCTTTGCACAGAGCAAAACTCACCTGAGCTGCAGAAAGTGGCTTTGCAGAGAGATCCTCAGGAGCGTGACGTACCTGTGGAGCTGTCCCCTGGTTGCTGGAAGGGGAAGGAGGAGTGACACCTGTATTTATAGGGAGGGCAATGCTGGCTTTGCCAGCAGCCCAGCCAACAAGCGTGCAAGGCCTCGGGCTCCATATGGTATTTTTTCATGGAAACAAAGGTCTGTTCAGTGAAAAAATAAATAAATAGCTCTTTCAATCAATGCCAGCAGCTGTGAAACACTGAGAGGACAGGGTTGCAGTGCACCCCAGGTGGACAACATAGGGGAAATGACCACTTGCAGCCTCCTGGGGGTTGTTTTATGCACCTTGGTGGTTTCAGCTTTGTGCTCTGTGCTGTGGGATGGGGCATGCACTCAGGTTTCTGCCACGGATCCCTGTTCCCAGGGGCCAAAACAGCACAGTGAGTGACATTCGCTGCCCACAGCATGACGGTGCAGCGCGCAGCCCCACAAACAGAGGGCGCTGCAGAGCTTGGGGGGCGCGCGGAACGCCTTCGATCTCTTTTGGTCTCTGCGAACTTCCGTAGCTCCCCCACGGTTGCACGCATGCGCATTCGCGAGAAGGCCGCGCAGCGCCGGGAGAGGGGAGAGAGAACCATGAGTGACATCCGGCACTCGTTGCTCCGGCGGGACGCGCTGAGCGCCGCTAAGGAGGTGTTATATCACCTCGATATCTACTTCAGCAGCCAGCTGCAGAGCGCTCCGCTGCCTCTGGTGGATAAAGGCCCGGCTGAGCTGCTGGAGGAATTCCTCTTCCAGGTCCCCAAGGAACGCGGTGCTCCGCCCAAGGTGCGGCCCAGCCCCACGAGGCCCGGTGTGCCTGAGGGGATGCGGGTTTGGTGAGGTGGTGGCAAACGCCGAGTTGTGCACAGCCGACCAACCAGCCCCTCTTTTTCGCATGAACCCCCCAGTGCGATTCGCTGTTTTGCTTCTGTTTCTTTCCAGAGATTGAATTCGCTTCAGGAACTTCAGCTCCTTGAGATCATGTGCAATTATTTCCAAGAGCAAACCAAGGATTCGGTTCGGCAGATCATTTTCTCGTCGCTCTTCAGCCCTCAAGGGAACAAAGCGGATGACAACAGGATGGCTTTACTGGGAAAGCTGGTTTCCATGGCGGTGGCTGTGTGCAGAGTTCCCGTGCTGGAGTGTGCTGCCTTCTGGCTGCAGGTGTGATTTCTGGCTGAACAGATCACCCTGGGAAGGAGCAAAGGGCTGTGCTGCAGTGGGTGACACCTCATGGTTGGTCACAGCTGCTTGCAGGCAACTTCTCTTCCGTGGTGGTTTGAACTGACAGCCAGCTGTTGCAGCTTCCATCACACATCTCTGTGCTCACGTAGAATCACAGAATGGCCTGGGTTGAAAAGGACCACAATTATCATCCAGTTCCAACCCCCTGCTATGTGCAGGGTCGCCAACCAGCAGACCAGGCTGCCCAGAGCCACATCCAGCCTGGCCTTGAATGCCTCCAGGGATGGGGCATCCACAACCTCCTTGGGCAACCTGTTCCAGTACCTCACCACCCTCTGTGCTCACATCCATCCTTTACTCCAACACAGGGCAGAGCTTTTGCTAATCTTTGTACGGTGTTCCATCTGTGGAGCTTTGCTAGAGGAGGGGATGTATCCTGAGCAGCAGAAGAGTCTGTAGATTGTTTTAAAGAACGCAGCTCTTAGCCAGTGTGAGGGTTGCATGGAGCTTTTCCATGTTAAGATTTGACTCCTCTCTATGAGTGGGTCATTTATACGCACTTTGATTTTGGGAAAGCGGAAACACAGATGTTAAACCAGCAAAGCTTCTGAGCAGGGAGTATCTGGGCAGAGTGAACTGAAAGCCAGCTCTATAGAACTTTCTGTGATTTGTTTTAAGCTGCTTCTCATAGTGTGCTGCCTTCCATCCCTGCAGCGAACTCCTGCGGTGTTCTGTGTGAGATTAGCCCGAGCCTTGGTTGATGACTACTGCAACTTGGTGCCAGGGTCCATCCAAACTCTGAAGCAGATATTCAGTGCCAGTCCTCGCTTCTGCTGCCAGTTCATCACAGCAGTCACAGCTCTCTATGACCTCTCCTCAGGTAAATATTTCCTGGCTGTGTCTTGCAAACTAAGAGGTATGGTGTAAAGCAACACAAATTAACTGCTGCAAGCATTAACTGCAGAAATTCTGCTATTGCTGGCAGCAGCTCAGAATTGTGACCTCAACTCGGTGGGGTGAGGAAAAAAGTAAGGAGTAACTGAAGGGAGAGTCTGTAATAGAGAAGCAGCCAGGTAATACCTGATAGTGGGCAAAGGACAAAGGGACCTCGTTGATTGAGCAGCATTAGAAATGAGGGCACTTCTAATTGGGCTGGGCAGTTTTTCTTCCCTATCGTGTCTGCTAGCCAGCAGATAGACTCAGGTCTGTTCTCCAGTCAAATTCCTTCCAAAAATGGTGAAAATTCAAATTCTGAACGTTCACAAGCTGGAGCTGGATTTCTCTTGAGCAGTGATATGAAATGCAATTAACAGTGTACCTCCTGTGTGTGTAGGACCTCGTATTGATACGTCCTGTCTCATGTTGATGTTGCTCAAAGACTAAAAACATGTATGTGTTTAAAAGAAGATCATTTGATTTTACCCAGTGAGACAACTTGTGATAGGCCAACAAACAACCATGTGCTAAATGCCAGCATTGCATGGCATTAAAAAAAAAAGTAAATACTATTTGTTATGGATAAAGGAAGTGTTTTGCACATTCTTCTCAGTAGCTTGATGTTGATGAGAGAGAGATGCAGGCTTTTAAAAGTATTTGGTGGAGCTTGTAGCATATTTTCCCTCAGTATTTTATATAAATTTTGTGCAACCATGTGAAATCTCATCCAACTTTAAAAGATGTCAGGAAAAAATAGCATGAGTTGTAGGAAGTACTTATTCACTATTATTGTTATTTAATTTCTTGATTTGAGATGTTGCTGATGCTACAAGGAAGGAAATCTTGTTTTTCAATGAGTGCTCTGTGACTGGGCAGTCTCCACTGTGTTCTGAGGACAGGATTTGGTTACACAAACAGCAGCATGCCTGGAAAGAAAATAACAAAAAAAAGCTTTGATGTGGAAAGGGTTAAATGTTGATGTAGTGCTTTCAGAACAAAAGCTGAGGTTAAAAGGAGGTTATGGTTGTGTCACCCAGGGGCAAAACTGCTTCATGAAAAAATGGCAGAAAAAATGGGGAGGTTCTGAAATTGCAGTAGTGACAGTGCAGAAAGTGTGCATGTGTGAGAGAGATTGGAGTGCTGTCCTATCCTGCTCACTGAGCAACGGTCTTCCCTGTCTCCAGATGACCTCATCCCTCCTTCTGATCTGCTTGAGTTGATTGTTTCCTGGATCTTTGAAGACCCCCGCTTGATCCTCATCACCTTTCTGAACACTCCTATTGCAGCCAACCTGCCAATAGGGTTTTTAGAGCTCACCCCACTGACGGGACTGATCCGTTGGTGTGTGAAGGCCCCCTTGGCTTACAAAAGGAAGAAGAAAGCCTCTCTTTCCAATGGACACCCCACCAGCAAGATTGCCAAGGACTCAACTGAAGGAGATGATGGAGATTGCCATCAACTGTATTCAAAACTGCATCTAAGTGTCCTGCAAGTTCTTATGATGCTTCAGGGACACTTAACAGAGAAGAACCTTTATGGGCGCCTGGGGTTAATACCCTTTGATCATGTGGTTCCACTTGTGGAGGAAATTAACAGATTGTCTGATGAACTCAATCCTCTCAATGCATCCAAAGAGATTGAACTGGCTCTGGACAGACTGGCTCAGGCTTTGCAAGTGGCCATGGCATCAGGAGCGCTCCTCTGCACCAGAGGTAAGTGGCCAGTGGGGCTGCCAAAGAACCTGGCTTTGGATTCTTTTCCTCCAGTGTATGGATTTCATGAGAGGGATGTGACCTTATCCCACTGAGGCTCTTTGCTTGGGTCTTGGTCCCCTCTGAACTCTCCCTGCTGTAAAAAATATTTCTGAGACCAGCTTTTGAGAGTGGAGAGTGGCAGATGTGTGATGTGAAACTGCAGCACTTGTCCCAGTTGGCACACTAAGAGCTTAATTTATTTTTCCACCAGCTTTGTAAACTTGCTGTGAAATGTAGGAAGTGACGCCCAGGAGCCAGAGGGAGCCCAGAGTTGTCTTGCTTGGCCTAGTTCTCCAGCAGAGACTCCAGCCTGCAGTTCTTCCTGTGTTTCTCATGAGAACAGTCTGGGCTGCCTTCTGACTGGCTCAGGGAGTCACATGTACATCATGGTGTTTACAGTAGGAAGAAAGTATTGAAACCGTTTCTTATGGTGGTAACCTCAGGAGTCACTGAAACTTCTGCGGTTTAAATAAAGAGGTTTTGCAGGGCAGCATAAGCCTGATCTGAAACCCTGAACTGATGGGAAGCTGTGCACTGCTGATGAGCATGCAGCTGAATGTCAGTCAAAGGTTGCTCCTTCACCAGGGGGATGAGGCACAGTATTGACTCTGCATCTGTGAATGTGGGGCTTGCTTTAGCTGAGAGCGTGGGCAGAGCTTGATCCTGACTCTGTAATCGCTTTCCAGGAAAGCTGTGTATTTCCCCATGCAGTCTGGGGCAAGGGATTACTTGTACCTAGTTAATAAGCACTCTTCAATTGTTTTTCAATTTGTCTTCTACCAGTGAAGTAGATTGCCATGAGGTTCATGTGTTAAACAGGGGATGAGAAAAGCAAATTAAGGCTGTTCATCTGGAACTTCTGGGCCTTCAGTTCTTCAATGAGACTGTATTACAGTTGTGCATTTTAAGTTGAAGTTATTGAAGAAGCCTGTTAGTGTGGCTTTTGTCTGTCTTTCCTGTTTCTAAAACCAGTTCTTTTCCTGCCCTTTGACTCAATGCCTTTGTCATCACAAGCACTGTATTCACGGAGCAGTCACACCTTCTATTAGCTGTCTTAGTTACTTATTGATATATGTGTTCCTGTGGCCAGATCATTCAGATTCCCAGTTCTTGGCACTGTATATCTGAATGTCATCTTGCCTGAACTGTTTTCAAATGCTTGAACTCTTCTGTTATCCTGGGAGGTTTGCAGCATCTCATATTTCATAGGGTAGAGGCAGGGCTGGCTGTAAGCATAATCAGCTGGAATCTGCCATCTCCCTTGGCTGCAGTGTAGTGTTCCTGGTGGCAGGAGCTGGGCAGAGTTGTGTCAGGCCTGTGTGTGTGCTGTGCTAAGGCTTGGGCTGCCTTCAGGTGAAGTTGTTTCCTGGGTGGTAGTGAAGGTTTCAAGTAGAACACAGAATGAAGTGTGAAGCACAAAAAGCTGAGGCAAGAACTGAAGAAATAGAGAAACATTTTCTCTCTTACAAATATCTTACTGTTCTGAGAATGGGATTGTGGATCTGTGGGTCACTGGAGCTTTTCCAGTAACCTGACCTTAGAAAGAAAGTTACTCTCATTTCTGCTTGACCCTTATTGATCTGTGCTCTGTCCTCTTTCAGATGACTTGAGAACCGTGTGCTCCAGGCTACCACACAACAAGTAAGAGACCTTCCTGTACCTGTGTCTCAAGTACCTGAGACACATACTTGAGAGCTGTTGAGACAAAACCTCCTTTAAAAATTTGTACTTGCTGTCTGGAAGCTGGTGTTTGTTCAGACACAGCTTAGTATCGGGTTAAGGGTGATGGTTGTTTTTCCCCTGCAAGCAGGATGCTTGACTTGAGGGGAGTTCCATGACTCCCACTACAGAGATATTTTTACCCAACCTGCATTAAACCAAATGAACAGAAGGGAAAACAAAATGATGGTGTGGAACCTGTCCCAAACTTATCCCATTCTCCTAACTCCCCCATGGTTTCACTCAAACCAGAGCTTAACTGTACTTGTTTTTCACCTCTCACCCAAAGCACACCTCTGATCTTAGTAGTAGCTGAATATGCTTAGAGGTAGAATCTCCCCTTGCAAAAGCCTGATGGTGCCCATGCTGTGGGAAGCTGCACCCAGCTTGGTGCTTACTGTCTTGTTAACCTGTGAGGATTACAGAAAAAGGAAGCAGCATTGTTGCCTTTAGTGGAAATGACACATCATTTCTGCTCACAGCAGTGTTTTTTAATCAGACACTTTCAGCAGAAAGCAGTGTCCACTTGAAGAGTAGTCACGAAGTAAAAATGAGCTTGCTTTCGGCTAGTTTGCCTTCTCAAAGTGACACAACTGTCTGCACTTCTCTCTGCAGCCTTTTGCAGCTGGTGATCTCAGGACCTGTACAGCAACCGGCCCACAGCGCTCTGCCTCCAGGATTCTATCCTCACATCCACACCCCCCCTCTGGGTTACCCTGCACACGCTGCTCACCCCGCTCTCCCAGCTCACCCTGCACTCCCAGCTCACCCCGTACAAACGTTCATACCAGGAATGACATTCCCCTACAGGCCTATCCGCTAACGTGCTCAGACTGCAGAAGGGTAACGGCTTCCCTTGGTCTGAGGAAGCCTTGCAGAGAAAAGCAACCGTCACCAGAGCCATGTTTTCCTCTTTGTTGGGAAGCTGGGCAGTGCCTGCAGGAGGGCTCCACCTCCGGGAGCAGAGAAGACTCCAGGGGGAGGATAGCAGTTACTCTGAACGTGGGCTGAGGATATGAGAGCACCGTATGGATGAAGGGAGGGAGTGGAAAAAGGCAAGCAAGTTGAACCCTCTGGAGCATGTGGCAATCCTTTTGATCCACAGTATTTCATACAAGCACCATGCTCAGTACATCGCTCAGTAGGGTGTTTATCAGTATGTTTGGCACACTGAGAGCAGCACAGTCGTGCTCTGGGCAGTGGGGCCAGATGGAAAGCCATACAATTTTTCATGCAAGTCCACTCCAGCCTGTCCATCTCTTTGTAAATGTTTGTATCTATAGCTACAGAATGTGTACACTGTATATTTTTGGAACACAAATGTTTGCTTCAGAAGCACAAGGTAGAATAAAACATCACTTCCTATTAAAGGAAACCACTTAAGATGCATCACATAGTTCTGTCGCTTTGTCTTTCGGTAGCGATAGGCCGGCGTTCATGGGGGCGGTGGGGAGCAGCCGCTGCCGGCTGCCCGGAAGGGGGGCGTGGTCACTGCGTGGGGGCGTGGCCTCAATACAATCTCCCAACTTGCGCATGCGTCGCTTGTGCTGGTCACGTGGGACAGGCAGCCAATGGGGAGACGCGTTGTTGCGAGGTGCCCAAGGAAGGCAGGCAGGAAGGAAGGGCTCGCCCGCCCGCCGGTGTCCGTCGCGGCTCCGGCTCCTCGCCTGGCCCCGCTGCTACGGCATGCGCTGAGCGCCCGCACCGCCCCGTCTGCTGCGCGCCCGGCGCCCGCCGGCACTGCCCGGCACCGCCGCCACTCCCAGGTGAGCTGGGGGTGTTGCTGCTGCGGGCCCGTTCCGGTGGAAGGAGCCGAGGCCGGAGCTCTCGGTTGGCTGGGAACCTGTGGTGCGAGGGGCTCGGGAAGGGCTGAGGGAGCTGCAGTTGTTCAGCCTGGAGAAGGTTCTGGTGAGACCTCAGCGTGGCCTTCATGTGCCTGAAGGGAGCTTAGAAATGGGAGAAAGCGGCTTTACACGGGCGGATAGCTATAGGACAAAGGGGGACGGCTTTAAACTGAAAGAGAGGAGATGCGAGGAGGAAATCCTTCACTCTGAGGGAGCTGAGGTGCTGGCATTGCTGCCCGGAGCTGGGGGTGCCCCATCTGTGGAGGGATCCTGGGCTGCTTGAGCTGGTGTGGGCAGCCAGCCCATGACAGGGCTGGAGCTGGGGGCTGTGAGGTCCCTTCCAACCCAACCATTCTCTGAACCACTGTAGTTATGCCTATGGAGTTGTGTCGTTTGAACTTTTAAAAGGTGAACTCTGGCTAGAGGAGCTGGTTGAGCCCTGCAGCTGGGCATGGCAGTGCTACTAAAGAAAGGCATTTCCTGGTTCAGCTGAGGTCAGGTGGTTCTGTGGCTGTGCTTACAGCCTGTTCCCTTGCTAGGCTAGCTCTACCTAAGAGGGCTCAGCCACCAGCATGCGGCTCTGCAGCATAACCAGGGCCTTGCAGCTCCATCCTTCACAGCAGGGCTTTGCTTGGGAGGACATAGGGTGTCCCAGCAGCACCGTGTCCTTCTCTGCTGCTACCTGGCAGCTCACATACCACCCTGCTGCCATTTAACAGATTGCACTGAGACAGCTCAGCCTATGTGCCCTGCCCTGTGCAAGCACTGTGCCTGTCTGAATGTGACTGTGTCTTCAGCACAAAGCAAGCAATACCTTGACTTACCGTGTAAGTAGGGAGGCAGTTGCATGGATTTGCAGGATGTGTCATGAGGTTTTTAATTGCAGCTGATTAAGCTGAGCCTTAAACGTTGTCCCAAAGATGTCAGCAGCATTTCCTGCCCCTGGCAGTGGCACAGGTGTAGTTGGTGTTGGGAGAAGCACTTGGCTGCCTGGTTGTTCAGGGCCCTCCCTGCCCTGTACAGTGGGATCTGGTATGTGTGCTATCCTTGTGGCAGAAGTAAATTCTCCATTTCTGCCTGCCAGACCTAAACGTTGAAGGCACTGCTGCTCTCTACATGCTGTCAGGGCTGCTGTGACCAGCACTATTGGTGACAGGGCACTCTCTCTGGGCAATGTAGGTGAAATTGAAGTGTGGGTCAAATGGTTTGGATGCTGGCTTAGCATTGGGGTTTGCTGTGTCCAGCACATCTTAAACTTCAAATCATTGCAATTGCCATGTGTTTAAATGTTTCATTCTGCTGCTGAGCTGATCAGCCTGCTCTGTTGTGTTTTGCTTTGTGCTGCTGCAGCACCTTCCACCCTGGTCAGTTTGTTCCAGGCAGATAGGTGAGCTGTTGAGAACTGCAGGAATGTACCTCAATGTCTGACCTTCACTGACAGATGCATTAAAAGTTTGTAGCACACAGAGGACTTGCTGGCTCAGGCACGATGCATGCTGTGTTTATCTTGCTCATCTGTGCTTATCCTGATAACTGTCAGAATCCTGGTTTGCTGCTGAGCAGCCAGCTGATGTTCTAACGGAACTGTGCAAGCATGGATTTTTCCCTCATGGTTAATGCAAATTGGAAACATTTGCCTGTTTCTAGCTGGCATTCCTTATTTGTCTACTGACATGTGGATGCTGCCTTCCAGTACATTGGTCTTTTGGCTATGAATGTGTTCTGTGACTGTGAACAGCTTTGGATTTTGCTGCCCTGAAAATCTGTGCCTTATTCCAAAGTACTGTTGGCAAACTTTGGTGCATATCTATTAATCTGTTCTTCCCTCTAGTTGTCATGGATCTGCTGAACAGATTACACCTGGTGTCTTTCCCTTAAGAACTTATGCTGGATTTTATTTCCTGTCATTTATTCCATCTAGGCTGCCAGTGACTCTCCCTTCCGCCTTTGTGACTTTTTTCCTCTTCATGGGGGATGCTTCTGGTGCATTTTGGGAGTGAAGCTGATGGCTCTCTCCTAGCATGCTATAACCAGTGTGTGAAATATCTCCATTCACAAGCTGACACTGGAGGTGCCTCATACCCACCAGGAGCTCAGCTGTGGCAGGCAGTGCAGCCACATTCCTGCTTTGTTCCCTTTGCTGAGTGACAAGCTGCTGAGCGAGAGCTCTGCCTTCTCTCAGCACTCCTCTACAAGCTTTAAACACTGATGTCTTCAGTGTGGGGCACTGCAAAACGAGCTTTACGCCTTGCTCTGCTTCCCCCTCTCCTAGCAGGAAGGCAGGAGCTGCAGCTGATTGGTTCTCCAACGTTAGTTTGTAAGGCAGTTTGGAATTTCGTGGTTTAAACTTCTTGCTGTAGGTGCCAGAATCTATTTTGAATGCTACAAGCTTGCAGCAGAGACAGTGGTGTGCTGAACCAAGTGTGGGTGTCTCATGCTGGAAAACACCACTAAGAAAGGAAGAGGAAAGCAGCTGCATTGGTGCACATTATAAGTACAGATCTTGGAGAGCAGCGAGTCTGGGAGCTCATCTGCCAGCTGGGGAGGGGAATATATTTTCAGTTGTTTTCAGTAGCCTCTGGAGTTTGACTGCTGGTGCCTTTGTGATGGAGCACGTGCACGAGTTGAGACAGCTCGGTAACGAGGACAGTGCCTCGTAATGGAGATGGGCTTGGAATTCCCTCTCCCAGCCTTTGCACTGTGCTGATTTCTGGCTCTTTGACTCACTGCATGCATCTTGTCTGCAGCTGTTTGTTCTAATTCTGGGATGGCAGTGGGCCTGCATGCAGATGAGCTGCCCGGGGTTCCTGGTTCTGGGAGGAGCAGCTGTGCTGGATGCCTGCCGTGCTCAGTGCTCACTTGGTGCTGGCTTTCCTCCCATCACCTTCTGCTGCTGAACGTTTCTCTGCTGGGACTCTCAGCCTTCAGCTCCTGCAGTGCTGCTGTCGCAAAGCAGATTTTCTCTTCTGTGTCTCAGCAAGAGGAGCTTTAACAGCAGAACCCTCCTAGCGATTCTTACTCACCGTCCCCCAGAGGAATGGCTCTATGTGGGGCAGGAGGAAGCTGAGCATTCTGCAGTGTGCTCTGGGAATGCTTTGTGTGCCTGCATGAAATCACGGCTCCTGTGATGCATCCAGAGCTGTAGGGTGAAAGAACAGCCCTGAGAGCCACTCGTGGGTGCCAGGTTAGCATGAATGTGAGTGAGCAGAGGACAGAGGATGCACGTGTGGACGGATTTCTCTGACAGTAAGTGTTCTGATCTCAGATATAACTGCTGTTTGCTCCACAGGTACAGCTGATTTTTGTCTTCTTGCTGAGTATCCTATTGGGATCTGTTTCACGCTGTGATCCTCCCTGGCAGAACTGCTGCAATTCCAAGAGTTTGGCTTTTGGACTTCAGTCCCTTGGCGAGCGGGCTGCAGTCTGGGCACAGCAAAAGCAAAGTGCAGAGCCAAGAACAAGGTGCCAGTGCATTTCCTCCTGATGTCTGCAGAGTGTAGGTGCTGAGGCAGGTCTGGCTGAGTAGCATGGGGTGAGCATGGCAGAGGGGCCTGGCCCACCATTCAGTGAGGAAGGCAGGAGTTCAGCATCTTTTCAAATCCAGTTGCAGTTTCATTGTATTAAATAAAAGGAGCATGGTAACAGGGGTATCTGTGTGGGACATTCCCTGCGAGACCAGTAACCTAAAAATACAGCATGCTTAAAGTGAAATGCAGAATAGAATTCTTTACTCCTTGGTTGGAATTAGGGCCTTTGGTTGTTTTACATCAAAAGGTTTTGTGTAAATCTGATCCCCAGCACTGGGTGGTGTGAGGTGGAGGCACAGAGCTGTGCAGTCCAGCAGTGCTCACAGCCAGCAGCAGAGCCCAGGGCTGAGAGAAGCTGCTGTGCTGCTGCCCTGTGTTTGGAGCAGCTCTTCACATTCCCTCCAGGCTTGGTTTCATCCTCTTTATTTGCAAGTGGGACAGAACGTCGGATGTAAAGAAAAACTTTTTTCTCCCCTGGGAATCTTATCTTGTGGGGCTCTGGGGGTTGTCTGTGTGTCCACGTGGGGATTTGTTGCTGTGTTGGGAGCAGCCCTACAGGGGAACCCAGCTCTGCAGTGCTGTGTCTGCACATCTTCCAGGCTGCCAGCTGCCCTGCTTGTGCCCAGCACACGGTCTGCTCCTGTAAGTGAGGTGCAGCTACTGCACACGTATTGGTCTCTGAAGCAGGGCTGTGATCTGACAGAGCCAGTGCACTCCTTGTTGGAATATCTGTGTGTGATTCCAGTTGGTATTTGTTTAACTTTAGTCTTAGTTTATCTTAGGTTTATTCTGCCAGGGAACTGGGTGGTTTTATTTCTGGTTGATAGCATTTATATTTGGGGTTTTGATGAACTTCTCTGGATGGCAGTGGAAATCCAAACAAGAATTTGTGTGAGTGGCATTGTAAGGTTGTTCATTGCTCAAATCCAGCTGATGTTTGCAGGATGCACAGAGCAGAAGCATTGTTAGAGCATGTCTAATAGCCCAAAAAAGGGAAGCCTTGTTGGATTGCTTGGCCAGGCCATGGAAGGCATAGAATTGCTTGAAGGATTTTCTAGAGCCCTTACATAGTTTCTCACTGAATTCTAGTAAGTGTCATGCTTTGTCTTGCATTTGAACATCTTCTTAGATGTAGAGTGTTGATTCAGGGTGATTAACTAAATTTCTTTAGGAATGGAATATTATGTAGAGTTTCTCACCTTATTTCTTATATGTAAGAGCTCTAGAAAGGAAGGAGAATTTCCTGCTCTGGAGAAAAGTCTGAGCTGAGGTTTCTTTGCTGTGAATCACCTCATTCAAGGAAAGAACATGTCCCTTAAGCTGCTGGCTCAGCTAAGCTCCAAGCAAGATGTGCCCAGTAGGAGCTGGAGGTGCTGGTGGCAGCAGTGCACAGCCTGGGTCAGTTTACAGCAGGTTTCTCTGCAGCCACCCCATACACATAAAGCCAAAACTGCTTCCTTACATCTGGGGCTTTCGTGTAATTTCGTTTTGCTGAATTTATTTCAGTGAAGTGAGGCAGAAGGCTATGGATGCTCAGAGCCTTTATGCTTTCATGTCGTTTTCTTGAAATTCATTTGTATGTTAAAGATCTGCAGTTTTTAGGTAGGAAATAGACTTGAAACTGGCTTTTTTTCCTTTGTACTTCTGATCTTTTGTTCTGAAAAAAAAAAAAAAACAACCAACCAACCAAGCTGACTCTAAAAGTGATGCATAAAACGGAGCTTCCCTTGGCACAGTCACATCCTGTCAGCTCTTACATCAGAACTTGGCCAGCAAATGCAGATGAGATGTTATTTTCTCTGAAGTGTATTGCTGCTCTAATTGTGCTGCTGTGATCTCAAGCTCTCCCTAATGGGGAGAGGAAAGGCTTAGAATTCAGTTCTGATAGCAGCTATGATGGCTGTACTGCAGATGTATGTTGATATGCTCTATGTGAATTAATTTCTGCCTTATAGTACTGCCAGGTGCTTGATTATAACCTCCCTTTTCTGTGTGTTAGGACAGTGTGAGGCTGCTCTCTGGACTGTAAGCTTTTGGATGTGCTGGCAAATTGCTCGGATGTTTCAGTCTCATCTGCTCCATATTCAGCTATTGTACTCTTTCCAACAGCATCACGTGCAGTTCCAGCCTCCTGTCTGTTTTCCACATTAACCATCCCCTCCCAGCGTGGTGGGGTTGGGCTTTTGGAGGACTTCAGCAAACTGTGGGAGACTGAAGTGGAATTTAGTTTGTCCTGGTTGAAGAAGCCTGGTAGAGCTGCCTATGGAGTAGCTTCATCGGACTGGGCACGTGCATGCTTGTCTCCTGATGCTTCAGTGTTCCCTTGCTCTGCTTCTGACAAAATGAAGTTATCAAGGAGCTGGAACTGAAGGTGTTTGAGCCCAGCTGTGTCCAAAAGCTGTGCTGTGGGAAGACCACTGCTTTGGTGCCCAGCAGATTTTGCATGGTGTTAATGCCCTGTGCTGGTAACCAACCCTGTCCTGCATATACAGGAGTGCTCCCGTGTCCAGTGGGTTTTGGCATAGGTTGTTACTTCCTCAGAAACCATTTTCTGGACATGTCCTTCTTATTAGCTGTCTCTGTGTGTGACCTGGCCTGCGTATTTTTCCCCTGTTGACAGTAGTTCATGAATATTTCAATTCTTAATTGTTAAGCAGGTATTTTTCTTTCCTGCAGGTACCCACTGCAGCCTTTTCCAGCTTCTTGAGGGCTGTGTGCAAGCCAAACCAAGCTTCACGTGTTGCCACAGTGCCCTGCTTGCACCCAGCCTGCAGCCCAGAGAGCCTGTGGGTGAGGCAGCGATTGCAGCCAGTTGGCGCTTCTGCAAGCAGTGAGGCAAGGAAAAATACTTACAGAACGCTGTCACAACTGATAATCAGCTTATGCATGAGGACTTGGAGTTCCTCTGTCATTAGTCTAAGTGGTGTCACTCCATATCACTGCCACTTGAGCATGGTTTATCTTGTAACTTTCTCTTCACTTCTTGCAAATCTGGGGGAAGAATTTTCGATCAAGTGCTGCTGCAAACTGCAGTTGCCCTCCATTCTCCCTGATTTCATAGAACTGAACCTACCAGATAACACACAGTGCTTGCCTGGCTCTTAGAGAATATAATGATTGCTAAACATGAACATAAACATAATCCTCACAGGGATGGCACCTGTGCTGCTGGCTGAGTGCTCCGAGGCGCCCCAAAACCTGACTCTGTCCCAACTCTTTCTTTCATCTCTAATTTATTAACACTGAGAGGATTTGAAATGGTTGACTGAGAAAAGGCATTGACTTACAGGGTCATCAAAAGTCAAGAATGAGAAGATCTGTAGTAAGAAGAGCAATGCTGCTGCAAACCTGAGCCCAAGGGTGAGGTTGCAGCGTGTTGGGCTGTCACTGCAGGGCTGGCAGGTCCAGATTCTGACCCCCCAAAATGTTACACCTATCTTAGCTGTCAAAGTAGTTTTAAAACCAGTGAGACTACAGATATTGTGTGGTTTTTTTTAGGTGCTTGTTGTTTTGAAACTAACATTTGGAGTGATTGTGAAAGCAGCTTGATAAGTGTGCAGCTGTGGTCCTGTGAAATAGCTGCAGTTCTTCCTGGGTACTTCTTCAGAGAGGAGCAGATGAGCCAAGAAAGCTGGCTCACCAGCCTGGGAGCGTGGAGCTGGGGCTGGACCTGCTTTGGCTGGGGGAACAGCAGGGAAGGGCATTTCAGAATCCTTAGGAGAAATGTTGGTGCATGGTTCTCTGTGCTGTCAAAGCAGATCAAACTCGGATCATTGCTGTGTGGACCTTTTATGCATTTTTACTGGTGGAGTGTTTTACAGAGTGTGTTATGATGGGATTTTTACACTGCTCAAATGGCATATGCAGCCTCCTATGCTTAAATTTACTCATCTCAAGTCTCTGAATTTAAAAGCAAGGGTGCTGGAGAGCTGAGCATTCCCTTCAGCAGCAGGCAGTACCCACGTGCTGCAGTTTGCAGCTTTTCTCTTCAAGCATTTCAAACCCCCCAGCTAAATCAGTGCTCCTCCCAGCCTGGTGCAAACTGACTGAGGGTGCACTCAGCTGGAAGAACAACTCCCTGCACACCAAGTACTGCCCTGGCACAGACACTTGGCTGTGTTCCATCGTTCCTGATGTGCTTTCTTGTCTTGCAGGTGTGAATGACAGAGGAGGTGCCTCCGACCGCACTCACTGACGTGAACCTGCGTCTGCTGTGCCACGATGACATAGATGCAGTGAAGCAGCTCTGTGGTGACTGGTTCCCAATAGAGTATGTTGCTGTGTGGATATGGGTGATGGGAGCCTGGGATCAAGCAGACCTGTGCTCTGATCTGCAGCCCTGGGCTGGTGCTGAGCAGGCAGCAGTGCTGAAGCTCCCATGTACCCTGGTGCTGCTGCTGCTGGTGGTGACCCGCTGCAGTCCTGGTGTCAGCTGGAAGTCCATGCATGCAGGTTTTGGTAGAAAGATGGGCTTTGCAATCAGTGGTGCTTCCTGCAAAACACTTTAGGAGATGGGAAAGAGAGGGTGGTGGACACCTTCTGCAAGGGGCTTTTGTTGAGGCCAAACCTCTGCATAGAAGAAACTTGTGCAAAACTCATGTCTGAGTCCTCACAGTTTTGTGTTGTTTGTTTGGTTTTTTTGGTTTTTTTTTTCATTAAAAATATTCATGCTTCTCCACTCTCTTAGCATAAAAGCTTTTGTATTAGTCTTTTCTGTAGGTCTGAAGGAAGGCTGTCCTCTGCTTTGAGCACCAGCTCAGCTCCCCACATGGTAAATGCTTGTGTCTGCACAAGCACAGGACTGTTTTCCAGGGGACAGCGATAGCTTTCTGTCTGGAACTACAGCATCAGCTTTTAAAAACTTTAATCTTTTTTTCCTTTTGAGAGGGTTTATAGAGGATGTTAACAGGCTATAATTAAGATCACAAAAAGCAAACCAGCAAAAGCATTTGTGGAGTTTAGAATTTGTACCTTTGCTTAAAGTAGGAGGCATGCTGAATTCTCTTGAGCCTAAATAAGTGTATGCTGGCTTCCTTGTGGTGGCGTGGAGCAGGGAGGGCACCTGGAGGCTGCTCATGGAATGTTATTTTGATGCATATTGGTACAAAATAGTATCTTTTTTCTTTCTTCCAGGTACCCTGACTCATGGTACCGAGATATCACTTCCAACAAGAAGTTCTTTTCCCTCGCAGCCACATACAGAGGCTCCATTGTGGGAATGATAGTGGCAGAGATCAAGAGCAGAACAAAGGTGCATAAAGAGGTAGGAAACTTGTGCTTCAGTATGAGATACTCTGCCCCTTGCTGCAGTGAGTTGGGATGGAGCTGTTTGGGGGATCTTTCCCAATTTCCACTCAGAAGCTATCCTGAACTGATTGTGAAGAGCCAGGAATGAAGAGCCAGCTGCTTTCCAACTAACAAAGCTGGAAAGGGTGGGGTGTGTTTGAACACATGGTCTGTCACAGAAAGTCCCTTCCTGCTGGGGTTGGGCAGCTGGGCTCTGATAGCAGACTTGCTTCCTGATGTGCTGCAAAGAGAAATCAGATAATGTTGCTGTGGTCTCTAAACCCCTTCGGCTCTGTTGCCTGGCTGTTCTCAGTATGGCTGGCCATTGCTGGTGGATGAAGTTCATGCAGCCAAGGGATAGCAAAACTACTCCTCTCTTACATAAGGAGTGCACTTCCTTAGCTGTGCTAGGTGAGTCACTCCTGTAAGCTGGCTTCCTGCAGCAACTTCAGTGTCCTTCATTTCACAGTCACTTCCTGAGCACAAAGCAGAGGTGACCAACCTGCAGGAAGCTCAGGCCTCAGGGTGGCAGAGCTTATAGGCCTGGAGAGACAGCACAGTAGAGGTGGCTGCTGAAGAGGGTGAGACAGGAAACCCCCAGGGTAGTGTAGAGAGGGCAACATAGGAAAGCAGATTAAAAACAAAGTGGGGGAAATGTGATGGACTTAAAGGCATTGTGATGGTGTGGAACAGTCAGTAAGACTTGCAGGAGCCAAGAGCACTAAGTGGCATTGGACTCTTCACTTGAGCTGACTTCACCCCAGAGCTAGTGTAAGTCAAACTGAGTCTTCAGCAGCTAACAAAAGGCTCTTGTTCTAACCACACTGAAAGCCAGGGCTTATCCAGATACTGTCCCAGACAGCTGGGCCTATAGAGCATGTTCCTTGTCCTCTCCAGCAGTACAGAGCTCTCCAGCTGGTACGAAGCCCTGAGCAGGCAATAAAGTCCATTGCTGCTAAACTATGGACTGATCCAGGCCCTGAAGTGTAATTGCAGCTTTGGCAGTGTGAATCTTTCTTGGTAAAGAGTGCAGATACATTGTGTCCTTAGGCCTGCAAACCATGTATATAGTAAGGAAACATTGTGATTTGTGTTCTGTGGCTGGAAAGGCCAAGCAGAAGTAGGAGTTCACCCAGGGGACAGCACTCCTTTCATTTTTCTCCACCATTCAGTGAAGATTCCTGCTTTGTTTTCATGTGTTCTGGTTCAGGATTCTTGCTTTCTCCTCTGCCTTCCCAGGTACCTTACTAAATAACTTGTCCTATCTCTACTCAGGATGGAGACATCCTAGCTTCCAATTTTCCTTTGGACACTCAAGTTGCTTACATACTCAGTCTTGGAGTGGTGAAGGAGTTCAGGAAACACGGGATTGGTAAGTTGCTGCTAAATGAAATTCTGTTGCTGTCTTGCTTGCTACATGTGGGTGGTGAGCATGGATGATAAAGCTGCACCACTTCACTCCAGTTTCCTTTTGAGAAAACCTTCTCTGTGATTTATCCCAGCATTTGAAGTGGTGCTCTCACATCTCCTTTGTGTTGTTCGTGCGGCTTTAAATTTACAACTTAAACTAATAGAAGGAATGTTTAGAGAAAGCTGAAGGAAACTGGAAAAGGAGTGTAACTCAGACCTGATTTAACCTGTCGTGTCCACATAAACTCTGAATCCCTGCTGCAACACGTAGCAGTCTTGCAGCCAGTTGGGAATCTTGCAGTCAGAAGGGCTCATCTCTATTTGGAGCAGGATGTGGTTTGCCATCAATAAGTGCCCTTCTGGTGCAATTTCAAGCATGATCTGTATCTTTGATCTGCCGAGGGAAGGAAGTCAGGTTTGGCAGCATGACTCACTGTTGCACATCTGGAGTCTCTTCAGTGGATACAGCTATGGACTGTATCTCCCTTCTCCATTCCTTTAGAAAGGTAAAAATTGATACAATGCATAAAGACCTCAGTGGGAGGGCTGTATTTAAAACTTACAATGAAATGCTACTTTAGATAGATTATCTGTACAAAGAAGAAAATGCTTACACAGAACAGTGCTCAGAACAGTTAGTAAAGGAGTATTCTGTAAAACTGGGGCTGTTTGAGGGCCCTTTCCGTTTCCAAATCACCATTTTTTTTCAGCTCCATGTTGCTGGATTTTCCTCCTTACAGCATCAGCATTTCCTGTATCCATTAAATCCAGGCAGCATGTCCAAACCTTTGCACTTGTACCTGCAGAAAAAGAACCTTAAGGAGCTGCTGCTGCTTTTTCTGAAAGCTTTCCCTTTCCAAAAGTTCTTCTACTCATGTTTGAAGCTGCAGTCTTTCATGCAGGAGGTTTTTCACTGCCAGTACATTTTTAAAGCACTGAAGCTCTGATTTTTGCTGGCAGACATTAGAAGCTTTAGGTTTCTGGTTCTCTGCTCTTCTCAAACCAGAATGCACTTGGTTTACAGTGAGTGGCATATCTGATAACAAAATTAAACTGCTCTCCCATTGAGGTTTCTGTGTCTTTTTGTGCTTGGCTGATAACAAATTCCTACTAAGTCTTAAGTAACTATAGGGTCAGTGCTGCTGACTTCTGCTGTGAAATCCTGCGGGCCCTGCAGAAACTCAGCTGTGCCCTGAGGATTGTGAAACAGCATGTTTCATCTCTATGTTTGGATTAGCTCACCTATTTCTTTAGTCTGTTGTTAGGGCTGGAAGGAGTTAGTCCTGCAGGTTCTGCTGGCTCCTTCCCACAGTGAGGTGGCTTGGGTGAACCTCCAGGTTCCATCTACTGGGGCTGCAGTAATCTCTGTGCCCTTCTCTGGTTTCCCTGCTGCTCCCCTTTCCTTGTGGCTGAGCAAATACAGGCTGAGTAAGACTACGACTCACACTTCTCCTAAGAAGGGAGCTTAAATTCTACCAGTTCTTTTCTTTAAATTTCATATACTCAGTGCAACAATCTGCTTGTCAAGTCCTGTTGTCTGTGCTCTTCTAGATGTCTATAAAATAAGTGAACCAATGGAAGCGATACCGCTCAGTGGTATCAAGTGACTCAGTGGCCTTAAGCAAAGCTGGGTGCTGTGTGGTGGGGATGGGTGCTGCTGGCAGAGTTACTTTGTGGTTGCTGAACCAGGAGGGTTTGTCTTTATCAATCTGTTCTGTGAAACCAGGCTCAGAGGTTTCCATTGAAACCCTTTAGTGCTGCCTTGCGGAAAGTCCTCATGATGCTTTGGGGAGTGGGTGGGATCTGGTCTCTTACATGTGTGCAGCAGTTACTGCTTAGCTGCTGGGTGCCAGAGATCTCAGCCAAGAGCCCTGCAGAGCTGTGCTGGCCCTGAGGGACGCAGCTGCACTGCCTGATTCTGCTCTTCCTTCTTTCAACAGGTTCACTCTTGCTTGAAAGTTTAAAAGACCATATATCAATGACTGCCCAAGATCACTGCAAAGCCATCTACCTGCACGTCCTCACCACTAACAACACAGCAATAAACTTCTATGAAAACAGAGACTTTAAACAGCACCACTATCTTCCCTATTACTATTCCATAAGAGGAGTCCTCAAAGATGGCTTTACCTACGTTCTGTACATCAACGGTGGCCACCCGCCCTGGACGATCTTATATCCTTTAAGTTCAGCCTGATGTCCAGCGAGGCATGCTAAGCAGACACCAGACCATGTTTGGGGCTAAAAATAGCAATCCAGCCAAGTGTGACCTGGCTGTGTCTGGGGAATGATGCTTGCTCAGATGTGAGCTTAATTGGACTGATCTCCCTGCAGCCAGAAGGAAGGCAGTGTTAGACAGGTTCAGACCCACTTGTGCCCAGACTTCCCCAGCTCTCCTGGAAACAGTGAAGGATGGGAAATTGAATTTGAAGCTGAAGCCAGTTTGGATGCTCGTGTTAAACCAGCATACCAGGCACGCTTTGCCTTGCATGATGCAGGATTTGGCTGGCACTGTGGCAGAAAAGCCCTTGGTCTTGCTTCCTGCCACTGGGCATCCTGTGATCCTGGTCTGGCCTAGGTTTCAGCAGGCTGCTCTCAAACTGAATTTGGGAATTAATGTCAGGTCATTGGGTCCTGGTAAAGAAACTTGATCTTTCTCAGGTATAGCTAATTAGTCCAGATCTCTCCAGGCAGGTGGGTGTATTTCAGCCCCTGCAGTAAGTTGCTGTGAAGTGCCAAGGAAGCTAGCAGGTGCTTAGGTGGGGTATTTCCCACGCAGGTTGTAGCTGAGCTGGAGTTGTAACAGTGGCTGATGGTTGGCTTAGACGACCTTAGAGGTCTTTTTCAACTTTACTGATGCTGCAATTCTATTTCCAAATTGTCTTATTTTATGGTGCCAGGTATACTTGCTTGTGACAGAAAGGAGCAGTCATGTAGTGCGATGAGCTCGTCTGTCTAATTAGCTGAGCAGAGCAGCCTCACTGTGTCAGAGGGTCTCTGTAGCGGGTAACTTGAAGTTTTCAATGGACTGCTATGTCTGAAGTTAGAGTATAAATGCCACTATCCTTAACAGATGGCCACTGACTACCTGCAGCACATCGGATCAACATTAGCCAGCCTGAGCCCATGTTCCATTCCCCAGAGGATATACAGACAAGCTCAGAGCCTTCTCTGTAGCCTTCTGCCATGGTCTGGCATTTCTGCCAAGAGTGGCATTGAGTACAGCCGGACGATGTGACTCCATCAATGGATGCACACAGCACAAAGGTAGGTGCCTGAGGGCGGGCTCCCTTCTGGTCCACACCATTGGCCGTGTGCCTGGCCCTGTCTGGGGAACTGGGAGTGTGCTGAGCTGCCTGCCCACCTCCCTGCTGTGCCAGGTGTGTGAAGCATCGCTGTGCCCTGGCCTCCAGTTGCCAACCTCCTGGTTTCATGTGAAGGGAGTTTGAACTCTCCTCTTGTTTACGTGGGCTCAGAGCCTTAGAGCAGATTAAAATTGTCCCTCCTGCCTCTGGCCCTTTTCCCAGCTGCTAGACCAGCTTTGATGGATGGAGTAACTGAGCCTCCACTTTGCTGACACAGTGTCCAAGCTCAGGAACCGATAGCCAGTGTGCACAGATCTGGCTAAAGTCTATGGAACAGTGGATCTCCAGTACACTTTGAGACCCATTAACAACTGTTTTTTCTAAGACAGCTTCTCTCTTTGTCTTTCCTTAGGGATTGTTCTTCCTTTCATCTCCTGAACCATCTGGCTCTGCACTGATTCCAGTGATGATGGCTCTTGGTCAGTGACCCACCCCTTGGAAAGGACTCCTTATTCCACAGACTGACCAAGATTTTTCAGACTTCACCCTGGATGGGCTGTAGCCCTGACTCACTCTGTGGGCTGGAGCCCGTGAGCACTCCTGGGAGGCCGGGCTGCCAGGGGGCACCGGGCTGAGGGCTTCCATGTCACCGGTCTGTGAGCATGTCACACTGTCCCTGCCACTTCCTTCGCCTCTGGATGGTTTGCTTGTATGTGATGTGGGGGGGTTCAGTTGCTGCTTCCACGTCACAGCTGCTGAAAGCAGTGTGAGTGAGGTGCACTGACTGTGAGTGAGCACCCTGGAAGAGGGGAGCTGGATGGCTGTGTCCTGCCTTGCTAGAGAATCCAGGCAGGGCATCCACCCCAGGTGAGAGTCAGCCCCAGCCTTTCAAAGGGGGGGGGTGTAAAAAGTACCTGATCCAGGATGCACCAAGTAGAAGGCAGGGGATGAAATTGCTATTTCATAGTGAAATATATATTATACTGTACAGATCTTTCTGCCTCTTTCCAAGCTGGAACAGAGCAGGGGCGGGCCTGGAGCTGTGGGACCACTGTGGTAGGCAAAGCCCTTCCCCTCCCAGCACGCATCCTCCCTTGGCACCGGGGCTGCACTCTTGCAGGATCTTTAGGGTAGAGCGTTGCACACAGATCACTACAGCTCTTTGTTGCAGAGAAGCCCCCCAGCTGCTTGCTTGCATGCTCCAGGCTGCAGTGTGCAGGCATTGCCATGGGGCTGCACTGTCAGCTGCCCTTCTTGCAGCACCAGGGCCAGGCTCAGGGGCTCTGTTCCCTAGCACCAAGTAGCCATGCTGCTGGGAGAACCCTGAGGCTCCTGTGTGCTGCAGTCAGGCCAGGTCCTTTCATGATCCCTGCCCCTGGGAGCGAGTGCTTTGCTCCTTAGCTGGGAGTCTGCAGCTCCATCAGCACCAGTGCTGGAGGTGTGGGGAGCACTGCTCCCCTCTGTGTCCCCTCTGCATCCTCTGCCCTGGTGAAGGCTTCCCACACTCATTGCTGTGCTCCTCCCACTCTTGTGCCCCTCTTGGAAGTGGGGCTTAAATGAAGGGCAGTGTAAGCTGTGCAGGTTCCTGTGTGCAGGGCCAGCTCTGGTGGCAGGTGAGGGCAGGGAGTGGGGATGAGCTGTAGTCTGGGTCAGGTTTAGACCTAGAAGGAGCACACATGGTAAGAGCTTGCAGCCCTGATACCATACAAAGTCATTTCAGTGTTTGTAAGCCCCTAAGATGAGAATTAAACAATAAAAGGGTGTGGAGGAGAGTTCACTGCATGGTGCTGTGCTGGTTCATGTGAAGAGGCCAGGGTGGCCCAGTGCTGCCTTGGCTCAGAGCTGCTGGCACAGCAGGCAGTGCTGGTGCAGCATTTCTCTGCTTTGCACAGCCCTGACTGCAGGAAGGATTTCAGTCTGGCTGATGGTCTGGCAGATACTTTATTTGGGGGAAGCAGAGGCTGTTTGAAGTGCTGCTCACTTTTCTGGAATGAGAGCAGGGCTGGCTCCACGGGTGTTTGACAGGAGAAAGAAAATGTATTTCTGGGAGGAGAATTACGCCTGCCAGAGTGCAGGGAGCTGCAGTGTGAAGCAGGGCTGGCACATAGTGCTGGCCATGGTGCAGCTGGGGAGGTTCTGGCTGGGCTGTGGGGCAGGGAGAACTGTCCCTGGCTGGGGCATGGAAGTAATGAAGTGTGGGCTCAGCCTGTGGCTGTCAGAATTCCCTGCTTGGAGGACTGAACAGCTGCTCCCTGAGTGCTGCAGTGAGCCCTGCAGCCACAGCCCAGCAGCAAGCACAGCGTGGTGCAGCTGCATGCAGAACAGAGCGTGCCAGCACTGTGCATAGTGCAGCAGAATTGTGCATTTTGCCCCTGCCACGGATTCAGGGAGTCCTGGGGCTGGGCACCCCCTGCCACCAGCTCACAGGGGCGCTTGGCAGTGGCGTAAGACCTCATTACCTGTGGCCCAAGGGCCAGGTGCTCCACCAGCCCTCATGCACCACAGGGCACCACAGCCCTTTGCTGCAGGATTAGGGGCTGCATGTGGGTTCCCCTGCACGCGGCTCCCTGCCCCCATGGCCCTGTGGCTGTGCTCACAGTGCTGGCTGTGCGAGGGGTGGGCTGGGCAGCTCTGTCACCTGTAGGCCCTGCTCAGGCTGCTGCCCCTAGCCCAGCCTGGCTGCTCCCAGCAGCAGGGGAGGTCACAGCGGTGGTGGCTGCAGCCCCTCCTCATCACAGCTCTTGCACTTGGGAGCCCCGAAGCACTCTGTCACCCTTATTTGTATAACTGTTTTTTCCTTCAGCTCAGCCACTTCCTACCTGAATGTTTCTCTTGGTTTGTATGAGTTTATTTAGCAACCAAAGGTCCTGCTTTTCTTTAGCACTTACGTCCTCTGGACCAGAACGTTCCTGGCACTGATGCGACGTCCCCCCCCTCCTCTTCTGCCCCTGCACACCCCAACTCCTCAGCTGCTGCCCTTAGGCACATCCCTGGGGGACCAGACTGGTCTATGTGCTGTCCTCCTGTCACCCCATCCCCTATGGAGTCACACCCCCACCTCACAGCCCGTTATTTATTGAGGAGCACCATGCTGCTGCTGTCAGCCTCTCTCTAAACTTCTTCAATTAAACCAAACCTCTTTTGTGAGTCGTTTGTTCATCACCGTGTGCAGGCATCTGCCTCTACTCACTGCTCGGGACCTTCCCCCAGTGCTCTGCTCTGCCATGATGTGTGCAGCAGCCTCATGCTGGTCATGGGGGGCTGCCTGCTGGGCACCTTTGGGGCCCTTGTGCAGGGCAGGTTGGACACAGGCAGCAAGTAGGGAAAGCAACACCCTTGCCTCAGCCCAGTGCCTGGAGGGAGACAGTGGTAGTGGAGGCAGCTCTGCTCTCACTGGGGCTGAGCTGAATCAGCAGCTGTGGTGCAGTGACCGCAGGTTGGGCACAGCTCAGCACCAGCATGGGGATGGAAAGGGGAAGCAGAGCTGCCATGGGGCAGGCAAGGGCTGGAGGTTTTAGCAAATGGTTTCTGCAACCTGTAGGGTTGTGTGCTATGCATGGGCCCTGCTGCAGCTGTGGGCTCAGGGCAGCTGGACCAGGCATTGGCTGCCCATGATCTGGCAGTGGCAGCTGTTACAGAGCAGTGAATGCCCACCACACACAGCTGCTCTGGCACCTGTAGCAGAGCTGCTGGCATCAACCAGGTGCAAGAACTGTCTTGGGGCAAACAAACAGCAAAAGCTTCAGCAGTTTGCAGAGGTGCAGCACCCCAAATCCTGCGGCACCTTCTGCCCTGCAAGCTGTCCTGGCCCACAGCCGGAGAGGTGCTTTGCTCGCTCCTCTCTAGACAGAAGGGCCCCTGCAGGGACAGCAGTTCTGCAGCCTTCTGGAGCCCCCCAGTGCTGTGCGCTGGCAGTCAAGAAAGATCCCGACTGCGAAGCGTTCAGCAAAGCCATTTATTCCACTTTCCTGCTCCCGCAGACCTCCAGATAGAAACCCACACGAGTATGTCCCCGTGCCCCAGAGGGAATTCAGTGCAAGTCACCGCGGGCACCGGCATTCCAATGGGAGCCCAGCCTCACTGCTGCCAGCAGAGCAGAACCCTTCTGCCCACAATGGCAAAGGCGCTTTACCAGCAGCCTTATTCCTCAGCTGTGTCCACTGCAAAACACAGCTGCGTCCAAGTCAACACAGGGCATCTCAAAATAAGAAGTTTTGTTCCTTAAAAATGAAACCGGGACCTGAAAGCAGCAGTGTGTCCCTGAAATCAAAGCGTAATTCTAAGGCTTCAGCACCTTCACATAAGCACATGAACTCTCTGCAGGGGGCCGTGCAGATTGATCTGGGAAGCTCGCTAGAGTTTAATGGCCATAAAAATACATAGCTTTCCCCTGCTTCAGACAATTCCAAACCCTCCTGGCTACACAATGGAATCTCGCAGCCAGCAACTGGTTGGAAAGTTAGAAGAAAGTCTCTAGTCTCCTCACCCACTTTTAATCAATTACAAACACGGTGGCATCACTCCATGGCTTCAGCCACTGGCTGCTCCAGCACAGTGTCTGCCCCGGGCTGCGCCTGCAGCTCCGCCACCACAGCCTCAGCCCCTGGCACGGCCGCCAGATGCTCCAGCACAGCCTGGCTCTCCAGCCCGGCCGCCTGCTGCTCTGCCAGCTCAGCCGCAGCGTGCGCAGCTGCCTGGTTCTCTCCGCTATCTGCGTATTCATTGCCCGCTCTGGCGGCCGCCGCCAGCTCGTTCGCCTGCTTAGCTGCTGCCACAGCTGCGTGGTCGATCGCCGGCTTCTTCGGCTTCTGCGTGGCAGCCACTGCCTCGGCCAGCTTCTCCTCCGGCACCATGTTCAAGATCTTCAGAGCAAAGAGCAGCTGGAATTTGGCAGTTCCAACGAAGGAGTTGGCCAGGAAGTTTGGCAGGCCACCCATGCGATCTTTCTGGGTGTAGAGAGGGACACGGACCATGCCCATCACCTGCAAAGGCACGGAGCACAGCTCAGCGGAGATCACGGCACCCCCAGTCCCACACCCCCACCCCAGGACCCCCAACCCACAGCCCCGGTGCTTGATCCCCCCCCTACCCCCACCGCAGCCTGCTCTCACCTGCCTCCAGCCCCACTGAAGCCCCTGCTCTGCCTCTCCCCACACCCCCAATTCCCTGCTCTCCCAGCATCAGTCCCATTCCCTGGGGAATCCCGCTGCCCGAGCTGCTATGGGCATCCCCGTTTTCCCCTCCACACCCAGCCCTGCCTGGGGGCACCGCAGAGCCGCCCCGTATCCTCAGCAGCACCACAACCCAGAGCTGGCCACCTCTGCTCACACCGGCGCTCACTGTGCGCTCAGTGGGCACCCAGGAGACCCCGCACGCCTCGCTCTGCCCTTACGGTGGCCGAGCTGCGCAGGAGGAGCTCGTGCCCCTGCTCTGCTTTTGTGTGAGCCCCCGGAGAGCGTGGAGCAAAGCAGTGCACCGCTGTGCTGAGGTTCTGATGCAGGTGTGAGACGGACCCCGCCCACATCCTGATGCAGAGCGGGTAAACGGGGCTCTTCCCTACAGAGGCGGCGAGGGGCAGGGCTGGAGCTCGCAGCACCCCGGGCCTCGCGGTGCAGCTCCGGCTGCGGAGCTCCCGGTTGCCGCCGAGGGCTCCACGCGGCGGGCGGGGCGGCCCAGCGACCCCGAGGCGAGGGGCGGGAAGGGGAGCTTTGTGTTCGCCGCAGCCGCGCGCGGCCCCTCCCCACGCGCCCCACCTCCAGCCCGTGGTCTCGGGAGTGCACCGCGCTGATCTCGATGGTGTGCAGCTCCTCCAGGGTCAGCTGCCGGGCGTATAAATGCGCCACCACGCGATGCGGCCCGTCCGTCAGGTGCGAGCACAGGTAGTCGGCCTCCGTCAGGCGCACGCAGCCCAGGCCCAGGCCCAGCACCCGGTTCAGACCGTCCTCCAGGGACCAGTACCGGCGGTCCACGAACCCCCCGGGGAAGCCCAGGAGGCCGTCAAAGCGCATCTGCATCTGCAACAGGGGGCGGGGGTTAACGGGCCCGGCCCGAAACGCGCCGCCCTGGGCCCCGCGCCCCGCCTAGGCCCCGGCCCCATCCCGCGTCCCCTTCTCCCGTCCCCGTCCCCGGTCCCCGTGCCCCGGCCCCGCCCGTCCGTCGCCGCTCACCAGCACGGCGTAGCGCAGCGGGATGCGGCCGAACAGCATGCCCGGGTTGGGCGCGTACAGCATGGCGTGGCACGAGTGGCTCCAGCCCGGGCCCAGCCGCATGGCCTCGTACCGCGTCAGCGGCTTCAGCTCGGGCACGCCGGGCACCCCCAGCGTCGGCAGCGGCGGGAGGGACCCCGCGCCCGCCGGCAACGCTCCTACGGCCGCCATCACTCCCATGGCTCCCATGGCCGCCATCGCCTCGCCGCCCGCCCGCCGGCCCGCTCTGCGCACGCGCGGACGCGGCGACGTCGGAGGGCGGGACCGGCAGCGGCAGGCAGCCAATGACGGCCCGTCGCGCGCCGCGCGACCAATCGGAGCCCGGCTCCGCCCCGCCAATCCCCGCGGCCGTCTCCGGAAGGGGCGGCCAATAGCGACGGCGTCCCGCCGTCTCGTGACCGGCGGCCAATAGGGACGCGCGCCACCGCCCGCGCCGCGCGCCGTACTAGGTAGCGGGCGCTCGAGGCTCACGGCGCCGCAGCCCAATGAGATCAAAGCTGGGGGAGGGCGCGCGGCCGTCCCAGCGTCCCCCGCGCGGCGCCGCCGAACGGCACGCCGGGAACGAGGCGGGCACGTGCTGCCCCGCAGCCCTGCCGCACCCTCCCCCCCCCCCACGCCCCGCCCCTCCGCCCGCCCCGTCCCGCAGCAGCAGGAGGCCGGAGGCGGGGCTGACCGCGGCCTTTATTCCTACAAACATAGAAACGCGCGGCGCGGCGCCGCCCGGGCACGAAGCAGAACGAAGGCACACGGCGGCACCGCCCGGCCCCCGCGGCCGGGAAGGGACGGGACGGGGCGCGGCGCTCCGCTCCGTGCGCGGCGCTCCCGGGGAAACGCGCGGGGCCGCGGCGCCGCCCCGGGCGGGCGCGGGGCGCACGTCGGCGGCAGCGTTTGTCCTCCCGCTCCGTCCCGCCCCTCACGGCCACCGGCGCGGCCCCGTCCCGGGGATCCCGCGGCACGGCTGCGGGCACGGGGCCGCTCACGAGAGGCGGTGCTCGTCCTCCAGGTGCAGGCGCGTCTGCTCGAACAGAAGGGGCTGCGTGGGGCTGGCGGAGCCGCGGCCGGGCAGCGTCTGCGCGAAGTCGGACGAACCTGCGGGAGGAGGAGGAGGAGCGCGGTCGGCCGTAGGGTCGCGCGGTCCCGCGGCAGCAGGGCGGGAGGTGAGGGCGATGCGCTGCCAACCCTGCGGGAAGCCGGGGTACGTGCCGGGCCGGCGGGACGGGGGCCGAGGCGGCAGAGCCGCAGCTGCAGCGCCGCCGGGCTCCCGGCGTACCGGACCGTGGTGCTCCGGCCCCAAGCCGGGTGGGCGTGGGGCCGCGGGGCGGGCAGGGGTGAAGGGCAGCGCCGGGACGGCTGGCGCGGATTGCTGGAGGGGGTGGTGGCCCCCAGAGCCGGGATCGGCCCCCAGCGGCAAGCGGGGACCCGGCCGTTCTCGCCCACGGCTGTCCCAGGGCTGCTGCTGCCCCACCACGACGATGCGTACGAAGAACGGAAGACGTACCAGCTTACTCCTCTATACCAATAGAGCAGGAATCAGGACCCAGTGCTGCCCAAGACAGGAGGGAGGAAGGCAGACAGAGAGGGAAGGAGACATTAGAGAGGTGCTCAGCACAGCCTGCGATTCTATGGAAGAAAACAGGCTGCAACGAGAATGGTGGGGCCAAGGCCCAGCGCTGCACCCCAGAGCCATGCTGCCAGCAAGGTGTGGCCCACTGGCTCTTCCTGACCAGTGGTGGGCTAGTTCCCCTCCTTTGGTCAGAGGGCAGTTTGAAGCTGTGTTTGGTGCCAGGAAACAGGAGCAGGGAGGTCAGGGCCCAGGCACTAAGCTCTCACCCCACCCCTGCTCATTCTGGCCCCTGTGGGCAGCACCCTGCCTGACAGGCACAGGAATCCACGTGCAAACAGTCCCAGCTGCTGTACCAGTGACTTGGCCCAGAGAAGAGAAAGGGGGGAAGGACAGAAACGGAAGAGTGGAGGAGGTGGAGAGAGAAAGGGGGATGTTCCTCCCCTCACCCCCAGCAGCCAGCTCTGTGCACTGGGGGGATGCAGAGCCTGTGCTCTAGGCAGATCCTGGCCCCTGGAGTGACATCCAGGCCCCAGAGGAGGTAGTGCTGCAGCACTCTTGGAAGCCAGCAGTGAGGTATGGAGCCCACAGCCTCCCCCTCGGCCACCTCACAGCACAGCACACACCCAGCAGTGCAGCCATTACCTGGCAGGTAGACATCGACCGGAGGGTCCGTGTCCGACTGCGTCAGGCTCCTGTGCTCCCCGCAGCCACCATCCTGCAGGACATCTTCGACAGAGGGAGGACAGCCACCTGGAAGCAGCCAGGAGTGCTGCAGTCAGTACTGGCCATGAGGAAGAGGCAGCTCACAATGCTGATAGGCTGCTCTTCGCACATGGGCTGATGTTCTCGGATGCACCCAGCGCACCCCTCTCACCCCATCGTCATGCCCTCATGGTGCTGAGTACCACACACCCTCACCATGGCATGGGACACACTGTCTTAGCAGAACCACAGCAATATGTGCCATCCGTCCTTCAGCAGTGAGGGCAAACAGCTTATGGCATACACAGCTAGAGCCAGTGCTGCCCCGGAAGAAGCTGGATCCATAGCTGGGCACGGCTCCCCTGCAGTGCAACATGATGCATGGCACCAGGGTCAGCTGCTGCATGAGGAATCAGGTGTGGGCTTTGCACATGAGCTGAATCCTCACCCAGGCTTCAGGATCTGCAGCTTTGCCTATCAGCCCCCAGAGGCTCCCTCAGCCATTCCTGGCAAAGTACTGAGCACAGGTAGAGGCAATGAGGAGGGAACACAGAACTTCAAGCAAGGAGAGATGCCTGGCAAATAAAGTGGGGAGATTTGTTGGTTTTGCTCCCCCACTTTCCAGGAGAAACCCTGGCAACTTCCTCTGGTAAAGCATAGCATCTCAGAGCAATGGATTTCAGGGGCTGTGCAGTTCTAAACTTGTATGTCCAGTGCCTGTCCCCTTCACAATGCAACACAAGTCTGACAGCCCCCAGGGCTGAGTGCATACTCACTTTTCTGCAGGGATGAGCTGTCCTCCATCTCTTCCCCTTCCACACTCTGTAAGGAAAAACAGCACGAGTTACTTCAACCTTTCCTGCACTTGTCTCCTCCTCTGTCTCCAGAGTGATGCCTGAGGCAGGGACTCATTTCAGGGTGGGAGCAAGGAACCAGAGTTGGTGCTATGGCACCATAGGGTGTTTTACAGGCAATAGCAGCAGAAGAGCTCTGCAGATGCTGGACATACAAGGTTCAGCTTCCCACTCAAATTGCTCAGCTCCTCCAAGAACGCAAAGGGCAAATGTCTGCCCTGATGTCTCCCACCTCCCAATTCCCAAAGCAAAGTTGGGTGCACAGGCTGTGTCCTGAGGCATGGAGCCTCAGGTAGGTGAGTGGAGGCAGACCAGACTGTTGACTCTGGGCTCTCTATGCCCTGTTACACCGAGGAAGCAGTGATCCCTCAGGAGACAGCTTGAGCCCCAGAAGCCCCACAGGACAGCTCTGGCTCATAGCACAGACTTACTTCTGGGGAGCTGGTCTCCCTCAGGACCAGCTCACCCCCGCCCAGTGCTGGCTGTGAGTCCGAGTCCTCGGAGAGTTTCTCTTCATCCTCCTCGTGGATTGGGGATGAGGGAGACCGTAGTGTGCTGTAGTAAGAGAAACTCTGTTTGGTGGTGGCAGTTCCAGGTGTCACCACCCTGCCCCATCCCTCTGCCCAACCCACCTTCCACCAGCAGCATAAGATAATTCAGAGCAGGAGCTCAAACTACTGAGCCAGATTCACCACAGCTCTAAAGATCAGCTACACAGAGAGCAGCAGCAGCTCTGTGACACAGCCACACGTCCTTGCTGGCTGCCAGGACGTTCAGTGTACTTTTAGCACAGTTCTGATTCCACATCCTACCAAAGTGACACAGAAGCAGTTTCAGTCCCTTTCTTTCACTTCCTTTTCCTTCTCCTCCTCCTGACAGTTTGAGGATCTTTCTCCTCTGCCAGATTTTTGACATGGTTGGCCAACAGGGTACAGAGCTAGTAAGCAAACACAAGTTGTGTGCAGGAAGACACTCATCCTGCATCTCCCGGGGCAGCACCACCTCTACCTCATTCCTTAGAAGCTCATTAGCCAAACCAGAACAAGGATGGAGAGGACAGTTGGGTCTGGGGGAGCAGAGACTGTGAGACAGGATGGAAGGGCACAGAACGGGTGATTCCAGCCCTGGCCCATTCTGTTGCTTGGGGTCGTGCCAAGCCATGGAGTGGGCTCTGTTTGGCAGGCAATGACTTGCTGTTGTTGATGAGGTGGCAAAAACTAACGAGCAGCTGGAACGCAGCAAGCAGTGCCCAAACAAATGTAGCACGACCCCGTATGACTCAGCTTTCTGTATGGCTCAGCAAGGGATGCTCCACAGGATCCACACCTCAACCCAAAGCCATCAGAGGAAGCCTCAGAAAACAACTAAAGGATCTCAGCATTTTGTCTTTTGAAATTCAGGTCACTTCTCCATTCTTTTGTTCCCAGGGAGCTCTATGGAAAGCTGAAATCCTGCAATGTTTGAATGTCACATGCAAGTGGAGGCACTAGCTACACTGGAAAGAAAGACATTCCCACCCAAAGTCTAGGTGAAATTTCCTTATGAAAATCCTTTGGATATCAAAGCTAACTCCCAGGAGACATAAGCTGGTCTCTTCAGGCTGAACACAGAGGTGGTGTCCCAGTTCTCTCACTGCCATGAATACCCACTGGCCTCCTAACAAGATGAGCTAGCAGTGCCACAAGTAATTCAGAGACACAGCTCTCTTTCAGCACCCAGTACACATGGCCACAAGCCCTCAGGGCTTACAAAGGAGCAGACCCCTCTGCCCCCATGCTGACCTATCTGGAGACTTGCTCCGCTTGCCCTTCTGGTGGCTGCTCTCCACGGTTCTGTCCATCCCAACAAGCGGTCGGTTTGCAGGGGGCATCCCATCCACCATGCCAGAGTAGTTGATTTCATCATACAGAGGAGCTGACGGGATGGAGGGGGACACAGAGCGAAGGCCATTCAGAGCTTCCAGCAAGGAAATAGGCTCATAGCCTGGAGGGATGTTGTCAGAGTTCTGTGGGTGAGAAGAGAGGGGCGCGTTAAGAAACCCTCACCAGGCTGGAGACATACGGAATGGGAGGCTCAGCTGCAAGCCAGTAAGAACCCCATCACTGCTTCCAACTGTGTACATGCAGCTGTTTCACAGCACCACCAGAATCACTGAGAGAGTGAAAGGAGAGACTCTCTAGATAAGAGCTGGTCCTGCAAAACTACTTGCACTTTTCCCCCTGACTGTGTTACCTCAGCTGCTAATGCAAGTCCTGCACAGTCACCTTTGCTAAAATACTGAAAGGGATCACAGAACCACTGACCCCATAGGCAGGAAGCAAAACTGCACATTTCCATTCCTTCTATAACTAGTTTAGCTACCAGCCAAAGAGAGCTTTCCAATGCTACTGAACAAGCAATGGTTTAATTGCAAAAATCTTCTTGATCAATAAGGCCCTGCAGATTCAAGAGCTACATGGAGTTTATGCTGTAACCCAGCATGCCACAGGCAGCCCAGCCCACTGCAAACAAAGAGGCAAGACTACAGAAGCCCAACCTTAGATTAATTTAATCTGTTTTAGCCTTGCATCCTCAGGGAGGTTGTTGTATGCTGTACCAAAGATAGTGTTGCTGCTGAGCCTGGCCATGATCCCTGTAGCTTCTGTGCTGGACCTTCCAGTCATGCAGCTGCAGACTGAACTCCTCAGGAATCTATTCCATTACAGTCACTAAATTGAGGGTGAGTTGATAGCTGAACTGACTCACCTGTGGTCACAGAAGGAACTAGATCTGATGGAGGAAGAAAGAATGATCAGCAGCTGGGTCAAGAATCAAACTATATCCTCTAAAAACACAGCCTTGTGACATTAATGACCTTGTGCCCAAGACCACAGATGGGAACTGTGAGATACTCAAATCGCTCTGGACCAGGATTGGCTCACAGTTGCTGCTACCTGCACAACAGAGGTTCAAGAGCCACAAGCACAGAGGCATTTGATTTCCATACAGCGGCTCAGAGGTGCTACTGTGTAGACATTAAGTTCAGGAAAACAAAAGCCATTGGCTCAAGTCTGGGGGACCATTTTCTCCTGCCTGTGAAGAGCAAGGCCTGAGGGCTCAAAGCTGCTGCTCACTTTGTTTCACTTGGTAAACAATCAATGACATCGATGATGGAACTGAGTGCACCATCAGCAAGTTTGCTGATGACACCAAGCTGAGTGGT